AACGCCAGCAGCTATCCAACAGGGAGACGAGACGCCACTCAGTACAGCGCCATCCTGCAAAGCAGCGTGGCTACGCACGTGCAAGCACGAAGACGGCGCAATCGCACAGCTGGCCTCAGGCCAGACGACGGCTTATGCACTCCGTGGAGCATCCTCCTTTCCAACGCCTGAAAACACGCAGTATTTGCATAAATCCTTTACCAGGATAGCATCTGGCACGGACAACCTAGCCTCCTTGAGCTTGCCGTACTTGCCCTGCCACTGCTGGACCGCCATGCCGGACTTGTGGACAAGGTACAAGGCCAGCTCATCCAGCAGGGAGTGTGTGCCCGACCTGCAGACTGCGCAGAGAGAAAGAGGCCATCGCCGTCGCCATAATCAGCAGCCACAGAAACACACACACACACACACACACACACACACACACACACACACACACACACACACACACACACACACACACACACACACACACACACACACACACACACACACACACACACACACACACACACACACACACACACAACCACACACACACACACACACACCCACACACACACACACACACACACACACACACACACACACACACACACACACACACACACACACACACACACACACACACACACACACACACACACACACACACACACACACACACGCAAGGAAGCAAGAGGGAAAGAACACAGAGAGAGAGAGAGAGAGAGAGAAAAAGAAAGAAAGAAGGAAAGAAAGAAGGAAGGAAAGAAAGAAAGAAAGAGAAAGGAAAAATCAGAAACACCAAGAAGAAAAGCCCGCCTCCTTTGTTTCTGAGTCAGCATCTCGAGCACATGCGTGGCGGCGTCTGGTCCCAGGACGATCCGATCGACTGGGAACCAAACCTTGCCCCAGGAGCCCGGAAAGCCCGAGTCGTCAATCACGCTCTCCTTCGCAACAGACACGAAAGAGCACCGACGAGTGCCAAGTCTCAAACACTACTCAAATTTTGCTTGCGTGCCCAGCGTCCAACCGCCTTTCTGTCTCCTCTTTGCTGAACACCAAGCCGCTGATGTCGAACTTGCCGTTGAATGTCTCTTCAGCCTCGCCCCAGCACGATTCAGACGCCGCAAGCCAACCGCCCCGTTGCCGCCCCGTCGGAATAATCGCCAAAAAAACTAAGCTGGGGCCCGTGCAATATGAACCAAGGAGACATCAACATCGTTGGGCACGCCCAGCTCGCGTGCCAAAGATGTGCAGTGGGACAAGTACCGCTCCACTGGATACTTTTTGGGGCAGTCCATCACCTCATTTTTGGAAAAACCAAAGCTAGCACGCGCTTATATTTCACAAGACACTGCTCGCAGCCAGACGCACGACGCTCTTCACATTGAAGCCCAGGTTCTCCGTGCGCGAGCGCCTGCATGAGAAGGGCCGTCTCGATGGCTCTGTTGTCCTGCCGCAATGTTTGCTTGTCTTGCTTGCTGATCGGATTTTTCGCTTCCGTTCCTAGCGGTTCTAGCCACCCCACACGCTGAGCCTGCCAAGCATGAGCGCGCCGATGTCTGTTGGCTGGGTTTTCTTCCTGCTAGATGGCTTGCCTGTAGCCCAACAACAGGAGATAAAACGACCTATATACACTCGCTAACACAGCCACAACCGACCCCGCCCTGCCGTCCTGCGACTTCAAGGCGCCGGCAGTGGCACGAAAGCTGATGTTGGCCACGATCCCCCTCGCAGGCGGCGTCTTGAGGCTCAGCGCAAAGCGCTGGAGAGCCAAACCTGAACGCTGAGATGCAGTTGAAGTGTTGTTCCGAGCTTAAGAGATCTTAACAGCAACCCCAATAAAGAAAAACGATAGAAAGCCTGAAAATGCGCAGCTGAGACGCTTCGTCCAATCCCGGGCGGCCACGGGGTCTTCATGCACCGTCTTTAATGTCTCATGCATTTTGGTCGTGACAGCCCTGAAGCACGGGAGTTAAATGCACTTTAACCCTGAAACAGGACATCAAAAGACGGCCACTCGTCCTCCAGTCGATCTTATCCACGAAGGGCTGGGTGAAGGCGACGAACTCCACCAGTTCCGTCTGCTTGGAGACTGTGTCCGGGTCCCCGTCCAAGTCACCTGTCGTCACACTGGCTGCCGCGTTTCTCAGTTTCTCATCACTCTTTGTTTTGCCGAGTGGCCGCCCGCCAACTCCGAGTTGATCTTCCCTTCAGGACTGAACGCGATGCAGTTCTCCTCGAAAGGGCCAGTGCAGTCCTGCCACTGGCGCAAAAAATGACACACACTGGCTGACAACGCACGCAAAGGAGATCGAGCCCTCCAGCCACTCCTCCGGGGGGCACCGGGCCTCCAGGACGCAAACGTCCAGTGGGCTGTGGCAGGGATACCGCCATACCTTGGATGCAACGAAAGCGAAATGGCTAAAGGCCGTCTATGCATTCACTGCACCGAGGCACAGCCACAGGGCCCTCCATGAACTCAGTGCCGTTGGTGACGATGCACTGGTCCGGCTCCAGCCACTTGGGGTCGTAGCCACAGATGGCCGTCACCGTGCAGGAGGGAGCGCTCCTATGTTCTGGATTGGAGGATTGCATCAGCATCAATGTAACGTGGAAACACAAGACGTGGCAAGCCCAACCTACAAATGAATCTGAGCTCGCGGCAACTTCAGCGCAGGCTTGTTCGTCCACGCTTCCCCCTGGAACTGCAGCTTGTCCCAGTTCATCTCAATCAAGAGTTGCAAATATTAATTGAAAAATCGCAATATGTATAAATCCAAGATAGTTAATAAAAACTATATCGATGGATTTTTTTCCAAACTCATCATATATTCTAAATTATATATGTATATGATTTTTGGTCTTGCTCGTGCGAATATAATTCGAATTTTTCGCTATGATAAAATGATTATGAAAAAGCTATTGTAGCTATTTTTCAATTTATCAGAAACATATATATGTCAATAATATGCATATAAATATCTTAATTATCGATCATTTAAATATGATTATGCATATCTATCGAATATCCTGGTGAATGATAAATAGCCATCTCGGTTCTGAGAATCAGACCCGCCCTCCAGCCCTTATCCATAACGAAGCATATACGTAACATACAATTTAACTCCCATACAACCCACCCCCACGACGCAATATACGCACACCACACAACACGCTCCCGCACAAACACTCACGCACACACCCACACCCACACAACCACAACCAAGCCCGAGCCCAAGCCCCAGCCCCAACCATACACACACACACACACACACACGAACACAAACACACACACACACACACAAACACACACACACACACACACAAACACACACACACACACACACACACACACACAACACACACCTATACCCCCACACGCCCACACGCACACGCCCACACGCACATCCCCACACGCGCACCCGCACACGCACACACGCACACACGCACACGCCCACACGCCCATGTGCACACGCACACGCCCACACGCACGCACTTGCCCACATGCACACACAGGCACACACAGGCACACACAGGCACACACGCACGCACACGCGCACACGCACGCACACGCGCACGCGCCCACACGCACGCACACGCCCACACGCCGACACGCACGCACACACGCACACACGCACACACGCACACACGAACACACGCACACGCAGGCACACCCAGGCACACACACACAAACACACACACACACACACACACACACACACACACACACACACACACACACACACACACACACACACACACACACACACACACACACATACACACACACACACACACACACACACACACACACACACACACACACACACACACACACACACACACACACACACACACACACACACACACACACACACACACACACACACACACACACACACACACACACACACACACACACACACACACACACACACACACACACAACACACACACACACACACACACACACACACACACACACACACACACACACACACACACACACACACCACACACACACACACACACACACACACACACACACACGCACACACGCACACACGCACACACGCACACACGCACACACGCACACACGCACACACGCACACACGCACACACGCACACACGCACACACGCACACAGCACACACGCAGCACACACGCACATCGTCCGTTGTATTCCGTTGTCCACGTCCGCCTGTCGTCCCTCAACTTGTTCGTTCGCGATCTGTCCTCTTCGGTTCATTTATTTCTCCGATTATCACGTCCGTTCGTCCAGACGTCCATCCGCGTTCGCCCATTCGTTCGTTCAGCGCTTGAAACGTTCCTCTATTCGTCTATGCATCTTTCCGGCCGTTCCTGGGATTGTCCGTTCATCCGTCCGCCCGTCGGTCCACGTTCAATCAAGTGTTTGGCAGCTTTAAGTTTGGGCTTTGCGGTCTCGACGTTGGAGTTGTGGTGATTTGGGTATCGGGATTGGCCGGCTTGTAATAAAACGAAATCATAAAATCAAATTTGCTTCGGGAATTGTCGTTTTTGTTTTCCTATCGTGTCGCTGCATTTGCGGACGCGTGCATCCGTCCGTACCTCCTGACCTGGTCCGTCCGTCCGTCCGGCGCCCAGTCGTGGGTCCGCCCGAACGAACGCGGGCAAGGTTCGCGTCAACGAACGCATTAGAGGAATCGGCCGGAGCCCCTTGTTTTTCCCATGAGGGTTGCCCGGGGCGCCAGCTGCGCTGGCGGACCCTAGCTCCCTCAAGCCGATACCCTAAACCCTAAACCAGCGAAACCCTGGAGATCCTTTAAAGGAGCCCTATAGATCCATTATAGATTCCTTTAAAGGAACCCTATAAACCCAAGGAGGAGCAGCTCTTGGATGATCCTAAACCCTATTAAACCTTAACTCCCTCAAACCGATACCCTAAACCCCTAAACCCTGTAGGTGAAGTGGCTCATAGATCCCTTATAGATTCCTTTAAAGGAACCCTATAAACCCTTACGTTAAAGTGGCTCTTGGATCATCCTCTCGTTGAAGCCGTCCCGGCGTAGGCGGTCCTCCAGGGTCTCGTCGAGCATCCGAGAGAAGCCTAGCTTGGCCGCTTAATGGGGACCCCTACCCTATAATGGGCTATATAATGGGCTATATAATGGGCTATATAATGGCTATATTATGGGTATATAGAGAAGCCTAGCTTGGCCCCTTAAAGCCTCTGGAAAAATATTCGTAAATAGGGTCCTATTAAGCCCAATAAGGGAAAATATAAAATGTCCCAAAGGCCTACCTAGAAGCGGGGGTCCAAGGCAGCCAGAAGACGCCTCGGAGTGCCTTAGCTTCGGGGTGTTTTGGGTTTAGGGTTTTAGGGTTTTAGGGGTTTAGGGTTTAGGTTTTTGGCGTTTTAGGGTTTAGGGTTTAGGGTCTTAGGGTTTAGTGGTTTAGGGCTTTAGGGTTTAAGGTTTTAGGGGTTTAGGGTTTTAGTGGATCGCCTTCAGGGTGATATAGGAATTAGGGCTGATGGGGCGTAGGAGGCGAAAGGTTCCGGGCTTTAGGATTTCAAATCTTCGGGGTCTCAGGGTTTCAAAGGGGAAAAGGAGGGACCCATAATGGGGACCCCTAGCCTATAATGGGCTATATAATGGGTATATAATAGCTATATTAAGAGTATATACCTAGGGGTCCTTATTAAGGGTCCATCCGTTTACCCTTGAATATAGGGCTCTAGAGGGTTTCAGGGTTGTACGGCTCTGGAGTGTCATCAGAAAACAGATACCAACATGCTATGAGAGAGTACTTGGAGGATCATGGGATGTAGTAAGTAAGGTCATAAGTACCTTTCTTGGGGTTATAAGTAGTTATAAGTATAATTATATATAGTTGCCCTAATTAATACGCTCGTGACTAAAGACCCATGATCCTTTAATGAGAGTTTGGGTTCTGGCTCTTGGACGGTTTCGGGTGTGGGGTTTCTGGGGTTTGAGGGTAAGGGCTTAGAACTTAGCGATTTAGAATCGGTCCAGCAGATACAGCTTTAGATTCGTGACCCTAGAAGTGGGCGATTGAGAGAGGAGAGAGAGAGAGAGAGAGAGAGAGAGAGAGAGAGAGAGAGAGAGAGAGAGAGAGAGAGAGAGAGAGAGAGAGAGAGAGAGAGAGAGAGAGTGCAATAACAAGCAGCGTGCTCCCCACACCATCAACAAGTTTGCGAGCTAGTGTCTTGTTTTTTATGTATCATACTTATACCTTAATCTGAACCCTAATCATACACCTGCCGAGGTACTGAACGCCTTTCCCTCCTTTTGTAGCCGATAGATGGTCTCGAAGCTCTTGAGGAAGCCGCCCACCCAGCGATCGAGCTTCAGCCTTACATTCTGCAACGCAACCTACTGGCGACATGCAGGTCAACATCTGAAACTACCTATCTGCGAAGCTAATAATTTTTCTAAACTTAAAGCTGAAACCGATAGTATTACTATTACTAATACTAGTACGAACACGAATGCGAATACTAATACTAATACGTAATCCTAATGCTAATGCAGCTACGAAAGCGGATACCAATACCGATACGACTTTGATTACTACTGAGACTGCTACTCCAAATCCCCCTGCTCTATCTATCTGGAATTATGCATGTATCCGCGCTTGTATGTATCTACCTAGGTGTGTATGTGTAGTTTTGCTCTATACAAGCTTCCAAGCCCTATCCCATCCTTTGAGCAAGTGACGGCCCCAGCCCATAGCGCCAGAGCATCCGAGCCAATGTCACAACTCTGCGGTCGCTGGTCTCGAAAAGCCTTGCTGGTGCTTAGGGTTCGAAAGGGGGTTCAGGGGTTTAGGCGTTAGGTTTTTCGGGTTTGAGGGTGTCAGAGCTCGGCGATTGGATTAGTCCTGGGCAGGGTGTTTTGTATAGATGAATGCGCCCCGTTTCTCCAGCGCAGGGTAGGGTGCTGGGGTCGTAAATTACGACCCCGAGCCCTCTGAAGCCTATATATGCTACCATGTATATAAATGTACAGATATACATCTTTATTTTCTGTTAAATCACTATTCAGTATCAATTTACTAGGCTTCCGAGCTTTCCCTTTACAATAAGGGTATATACCCTTTTTCCTACTCTTCGGTCTTAATAAGGGGACCCTAAACTACAAAGGGCAAAAGGGTACTACTCCGGAGCCTAGTACTATATGAAGCAAGGAGCAGCTCCCGGCCATCGTGCAAGGCCAGTCGCGTGTCCAAAGGCTTCAGCTGTCCGAGTCCGAACTTTTCGGCGAACTTGACGAGGTAGCGGTTTCTCAGCTGCGGCTTTAGGGTTTGGGGTTTACGGGTTAAGGGCCTAGGGGTTTAGGGGCTTGCGGCTAGGGCTCAGTTAGGCTTCAGGGTTTAGGGTTTCGGGTGTTGCAGTTTGGGTTTAGGGTCTCGGGCTTGGGGTTGGGGACCCGGGGACTGGCTTATTGCTTACTGATGGTAACGGTAACAGCTTCGGAAACGATCCTACGGTTGATGATATAAATCCTGCATTACCTTAAGGGCCCTAAACTTTGGGAATTGTGGTATATTCCTTATTCTGGGTAATGCAGGATTTCTATCATCAAACCCTAAACCCAACCTTAACCCTCAGAAACCTACCTTTTCCGATATATATATATATAGAGAGAGAGAGAGAGAGAGAGAGAGAGAGAGAGAGACAGAGAGAGAGAGAGAGAGAGAGAGAGAGAGAGAGAGAGAGAGAGAGAGAGAGAGAGAGAGAGAGAGAGAGAGAGAGAGAGAGAGAGAGAGAGAGAGAGAAAGAGAGAGAGAGAGAGAGAGAGAGAGAGAGAGAGAGAGAGAGAGAGAGAGAGAGAGAGAGAGAGAGCCCTGACAATGCAGATTTGTTTGACCAGGTTAAGGACTGGACGGTGCTGCGTAAACTCCAAGAATTCAGTGAGCAACTCCTGGGCCTACCAGGATCCCCCAATGGCCCTTTAATAGAGCCCTTATGGCCCTTAATCGTGGGTATTTGGGGTATATTAGAGGGTAGTTAGGGGGTCTAGGTACTATGATGGGCTTAGGCCTTACCTGGAGGCCCTACAAAACCCTCCTTGTTAGGGCTCCCTACTACGATTTTCTTAGAAGTTCTGTTTGACATATGGAGTCTGACACGTGTAGGTCCTTAATTTGGTTGTTTGGGGTCCAAGTAGGTTTCGGGTGATATATGGGAGTTTCCGAAAATTAGGGGTACCTTACTAGGGGGTCCTTATAATAAGGATCCTACTATCTAGGGTATTGTATTAGGCTCCCCTGTTTTCGGAAACCCCCATATCCCAACCGCACAAGCTCGACAGCTCCACCTTCAAGCTCAGGCTCTGGATGTGGATGATGGAAGCCCCAGCCTCTCGCGGTTTGGGGCTTTATGGGTGGTTGTCAAAATTATGGTCCCTTTTTGGGTACCCTAAATATTAGATGCCGTACTGCATTAGGGATCCAAAAAGGGACCCTAATTTTGACAACCACCCTTATGTCAGAGATAGGGTTCATACAGGACTGTACTTCGAGGATCATGGGACTTAGTAACTAGGCCATGCATAAGGTAGCTACACTGATAATTACATACACCCCACATAAATAAGGTGTTTGTGACCATAAGCATAAAGTCCCATGATCCTCCGAGTAGGGCTTTATGGTTAGAGCGCGTGGGGCTTGAGGGTTCAGGGTCTGGGGCCCTGAAGACCCTAGGCCCGAACCCGCCCCCAAAACGCAAAAACCCTAGACCCAAACCCCAAACTCGTAAAATAGGCGCCTTAATAATTAGTCTAGGGTTTTTTGGGGCCCATTATACCCTTTATAACTATAGCTACCTTACTTGCAATCGCACTTATAACTACCCCTGAACCTCCAAGTAGACCCAACACCCCCAAACAAAGCTCGAAAGCATAAGGCACAGCCTCAAAGGAGCTTCCGGCCCACTGTACCTTAACGAACCTCCCAAAACAGTATAGGTAATTACTAAAACCCCTCTGAAGCTCAAGGCACAGCCTCAAAGGAGCTTCCGGCATGCTGCAAGAGCCGGGCCCGCCCACCCACATGAGGGCTCTTCTCGAAGACCTGATTTCCTGGGAAAATCATGTAGGGGCCTTCATAATTCGAGGAAGACAACCTTGGTGTGCTAAGGTTTCCGGTTTGGGATTGAAGGCTAGAAGCTATCCTGGGGAAAAAATTCTTAAACTATTCTGAACCATAAACCCTGAACGGTTCAACCCTAAAGGGGGCTCGCCCTTTTATCGTGCTGTAGGATGCTTGGTTGATAGAGGCCACTGTAGGCCTCGGTTCGTGGAACCTAAACCCTCAGCATCGTTTCGAAGACCCAGACCGTCTCTGGCTGAGGCTTCAGGGTTTGCAGCAGGAATGGTCGGTTTGATTTTGAAGGTTTCGTGATCAGGGAAAAATACTCTCTATAAGCGCTTAGCTGGAAACCTAAAGGTTGAAGGCCCTCAGGATAAGGGCATCGCGGGCCCGTGTTTGGAGTTGTGTCTCTTTGCGAAGAACCTGAGCTCGAACCAAAATCTGTCTGTTGACCTACCAGCCCATTTCGTTGTACGGTCCAGTGAAAGCTGATATGACCTGCCTGCCAAAGTAGCCTGAGAAAGGCGGCGATGTGATGGGAAGTCTTGTGAGGGTCAACCAGCTCCAAAGCCCTAAACCTTGAGCGCTAAGATGCTCGTGTTCTACTTGGAGTTGACCTGGTGACCTGACAGAACCGAATCCTTTGGCTAGCCGTCAGCCTCCAACTCTGACAAAGCTGGCTAGACTATACTGTATACCAAAGTCTACTATACTATAATGCACTCTAACATAATTTGGTACAATACAAAAATGGAATCCAGGGCTCCGGCTACCTGAATTGAATAGTAGATTACTAACACCTATGTGGTGTAGCCCAGTAACCTACTATTTAGGTAGCTGGCGCCCTAGGGACAAACTAAAAGGATGGGCCGTACCCCCCAAACCCTACACCAATCACAAAAGGCCCCAATATGCAACCCCCATTTTGCCCCTCAGAGTACCCCCTATACACCGGAACCCTTTGAACGAACCATGTTCTAATTCAGCAGACTGTAAAGCTCAGCCCTGAGCTAAAAAAACCCTATAGATCCCTTATTATAGAACCCTTATTATAGATCCCTTATTATAGAACCCTTATTATAGATCCCTTATTATAGATCCCTTATTATAGATCCCGTATTAATGAACCCTTATAGTAACCCTTATTATAGAACCCTTATAGTAACCCTTAAAGTACCCTTGCTATGAAGCCGGGCCCTGGGCCTGGATTTCGGCGTCCGGGAACTCCTCTCGGCAGAACCGGGCGGCGGCACAGCCGCCGAAGCCGGCCCCCACGATGGCGATCTTCATTCTACACCCTTTTGGAGTTGAGGGTTTACCCGAAACAGGGGTACCTGATTTTGGGGTCCTCAAAATAGGGATCCTAGTACTTTAATTTACCTAGGATACCCAGTAACCTAAGAATAAAAGGCCTCTCTTTTTGGTATTGGGTAACTTTATAAGGAACCTAGGACTACAAAAAGGGAATAAGGGTACTACTGGGCATCCTAGTTCTACACTCTTCCACGGTCAAGGTTTATAGGGTGAGGGGTTTGGGTTTGTGGGGTTTGGTTTGGGGGCTTAGGATTTCCCCGTGCTGCAATACTTGAGCGCAGTTAGCTCTACAATAAGAACAGCATATGTTTCGCTTAGTTACTACAAACAACTAACAGTTCCTAGGAACCCTCAAGACTCAAGGTTTAGGTTCGGGCCTGGGGAAGGGTCTGAATCTTGTTGTTTCAGGGTTTCCAAAGTTAGAGTCCTTGGGTTTAGGATGTTTCGGTCCTTGTGTCTACCTCAAGGGTTTAGGGTTTCGGGGTTCCGAATTGTAGGGGTTTCGTCGTGGTGCGGCCCGGACCTCAGGCGTGGACTATGTACTAGAAGGTGTTCACACACACACATGTCCCTGTCCGACTGTGGAGCGATTCGGTGCAAGTCTCGGGGAGCTCAGGCGTTCGATGGCTCGCTGTGCCAATCTACAGCGAAAGCTTGAGAGCCAAGATGCATTTGCACAGCAGACTCTGAGGCGAAAGGGTATGATAAGGGTCATCAATAACAATGAACCCGAAACACTGAACCCGCAAATCAGAGGTCTGGACAATATTGCTTGAGATTCACTCATACTCCTTATATAGCCATAATACAACACACTCCGCAAAAAAACCCTAAACCCTAAACCCTAAACCCTACTTATTAAAACCACTGTTTTAAACCCAAGGCCCCTATACTCTGCTTGCGGAACCCGTATTAGGTCTCATTCGGGACCAGGCGTGGCTCCTAAACCCTAAACCCTGATCGTTGATGATGATAGGCTTTGGGATCTGCAGTCAACGTTCAAAGCCCACGGGCAGGTCTAAGATTCTAGTCCAAGCAGTTGGTTGGTTGAAGCTCTCAACTTTCGGTGCATGGGCTCAATGTAGTACGGTTTAGGGTTTAGGGTGGTCCCTAAACCCTACAGCCTCAATCCTAAGCTATCTAAGTAACCAAATCACGAACCGCAACTTCCTTCACTAAATGACTAAATAGCTTCCATCCTGTGTCAGAATCGCCCCAAGCCTTTACAGCCCCAAACCTCGACTCCTGAAACCCGAAACCCCAGCCTGAACCGCACGCCCATCCACTCCAGGCCCCTGCGGCCTAAACCCTCCAAAAACTATGGGACTTAGTAACTAGGGCTCCTTAAACGGCTTAAAGGATCATTGGAGTTAGTAACTAGGGTTATAATTAGGGTAACTATACTTATAGCTACTTATAGCCCCAATTAAGGTACTTATAAACCCTCCTAGAAACTTCTAGAACCCGCGGCCCGAGACCCGAAACAGGGGTACCTGATTTTGGGGTCCTCAAAATAGGGATCCTACTATTATTCTAAACCCTCCAAATATCTCTGAAACCCGAAGCCAGAGGCCCGAAACACTGAACCCCAAACCCTTATAATTTGGGTAATTAGAATATGGTCCCTTTCAAAGGGGTTTACTATAAAGATTACTATAAGGGGTGTCATGGGGGTATCAGGGCTTAGCTTTATGTTAGGGGTTAGGGCTCAGCTTCATTGTTTCTGTATTAGGGTTTAGGGTTCCTTTCAAAAGGCTCCTTTGAGGGATACTTTTGAGGGTACCATGAGAGTTTAACCACAACCTAAAACCCCCTAAAGCCCTTCGCAAAAAGGATGATCTGGGCTGCCCTGCGGCAGAGGCTTCTTGACTTCATACCAACCTTGGCGTTTCCAAAAATAGGGGACCCTAATGTAGCAACTCAAATAGTAGGATCCTTATTCTATCCCAAACCTTCACTCCCTCAACCCTGAACCCCAAACCCCAACACCCTAAAGCCCAACTGCCTAAGCCCCTCAATTCTAAACTCAAAGCCCTGTGCCCGAAACCCCAAAGCCCTATAACCCCAAACCCCAAAGCCCTAAATCCCTAAACCCAAAAGCCCGAAACCTTCGCCCCGGTTTCGGGTTTAGGGTTTATATAGGGTTTAGGGTTTATATAGGGTTTAGGGTTTAGGGTGATGAGAACCCTGGCTCACCCTCCGGACCATTCCTAAGAGTCCATGTACATAGACCTGAATAGTACATACTTGGGGCTCCCTTAAGGATTACGAGGGGGGTTCTACGACTATAAAGGTACCAGAAGGGTGTAGGGTATAGGGGTACATGTACCCAAATGGTATATACTTTGGCCCTGAAGTACCTGTAGGGACTACGTGAGTGCATGTTCATCACGTTTACGGCTGTTGATATTATGATGGTGATGCCGGTTCGTGGTGCTGCAGTCGTTTGCAATCTGAACATGAAAGCCGGATTGTGATGGGGAGTTATGGCTTGGGGCCTACCTATAGTCTCCATTGTAGTTCCTTTTTTGGGTTACCTTGGTTAAACAAGAAAAAGAACTACAATGGAGACTATAGGTAGCATTTAAGGTTTGGGAGAGCTCGGCTGATGAGCAGTCCAGGAATTCGGGGTAGTGGCTGCAGTGCGGAAGCATGAAATGCAGCCAACTGCAATCGCAGCGCTGGCTATCTATCCCTTTTTGCCCGGAGCTCCGGATGCATGCATACGGATCTCCTTCGGAGCATCCTCAATAAAGCCACACTGACGAATTCAAACAAATACGGGTGCTGGAAGGTACCATCCGCAGATGGAAAAAAGCACGAAATGGCTAGTTCCTTTAAGGGCTCCTTTATGTTCCGTTTAAGGGTTGATGTCAGGGCTGACAAGGGTTTCGTAAAGGTTATAGGGCTCTATCAAAACCTTAAACCCTCAACCCTGCAGACGCTTAAAAGATCGAACCTCGACGTCTCGCAGCGAAGCTGATCCCCTCACCCACGGCCTTGCAAACTGCCGCTTTCTCAGAGGCCCTGGTGGCACGGGACTTGTCGAGAAAGGGGCCTGAATAGTTGCAATAGCGGGACTCTTGGGGTACATTGTAGTATAACTATATATGGGAGTTTCCGAAAACTAGGGGTGCCTCGTTCTGGGGTATTATAATAAGGATCCTACTATTTAGGGTACTAGATCAGGGTCCCCTATTTTCGGAAACTCCCATATGGCGTTTCAAAAGATGGTACTACCCAGAACTACTGGTCCCCATTAACTCGGTGGTCGTAAACCAGAACCAGCGTCATCGTCAGCATAGTCTTCATCATTGCCATCAGTGCAGAAATAGTTGTACGATCCATCAGGATCTGCCTTGTCCGTCTGTGCATGCATCCATCCATGCATCCACCCATCCGCTCGTCCACCCAGTCAGCCGGCCATCCATCCACCAACCCCACCAGCCATCCTTCCCTCCATCCATCGATCCATCCGTCCACCCCCATTCATTCCTGGATCATACACGCAACCGTCCCTCGTCCATATCGTACCGGTCATCGCCGTCATCGACATCACCACCATCCAGACCCGACAATCTTTAACCTTAGATCAAACCCCTAGACCCGCAAACCGATGATGATGATCATGATTATGGTGATTAATTATGCTGATTATGATTATGATTATTCATGATGATGATGATGCTGCTCAGCAACTCTGAAACCCTAAACCTTCTCTCGGTATTGAACTCACCTACTCGGCTCAATCAGTGGGACTCTTCTCACCAGCGGCCAGCTTGAGAAGAATCTGGTCAAAGGGCACGTAGCTCTCCTGCAGGAGTCTAAGATAGGCTTGCAGGCTTCTGTGGTTGAGGGTCCAGAGTCTACGTAAAGGATCATGGTTATAATTAGGGTAACTATACATAAAACTACTTATATTCCCAAGAGGTACTTATAACCTTACTTACTAAGTCCTATGATCCTCCAAGTAGGGCTTGGGGCCACATGGGCTTGGTGAGTTTCTTATAGGCCCATGATTGCAACTGGCCTCATGATTGCAATTGGCCTACCACGAAGGCAGGCGCCAGGGGGTCGTGAATGCTTCTATTATTCTAAGGACGACAAGCGCTCAGCAAAGGCTCCGAAGTACATGCAATTAGTGGAGTTCAGGACACATTGTACTCGGACTGTGCGGAAGCTTAGTTTTTAGGGTTCTGCTCAGACATCGGCCGATTGCTTGCTAGCGTGGAGAGACCATGCTGTGAGCACACTATGTAAGGTCTTCACTCCCTATCAGTTTCAACACCCCCCCTCAACAAAAAAAAACATAGAGAACAGTATGCTCCTTTGCCAAAATTGAAATCTCTGTGTTTGGGTTCACAACTTGGCCCATACTGTGCCTGGTGCTTATGTAGAGCTTTTGTGAACCCATATTCAGAGCGTCAGCAGACCTAGCAAGCAAATTGTATGAACTTGCAGTTCTCAGCACCGGAATTCTGGCCCGATATGGCAACATCTTAGGCATAGCCCCACTGAAAGTTTGTTTACCAACTTCCCTAATCCCTAGATTGAATTTCCCAGATCCCTTCCCAAATCTTTCTGGTCTCTTTCTTACTTTCAATTCCCTAATGTGGACAAAGGTAAGTCGTATTGCGAACACCTCTCACTCTTGTCCTGCTGCTCGCGCTCCTTCTGCACCCAATCTGAGCAGCGAAGCGGCCCTACCTAGACCGCCTACCCTGAAACTATACTGAACTTAGAACCCTAGCACAAATTAAATTTCAGCTGTTTCTTAGGGATTATAATAACCAAAAATTAAAGATCTTTCTAATTAAGTACCCTAAGTAAAGGTTTTGGGGTTTAGGGTAGAAGCCCCAAAAGTTGGAAACCCAATTCCTAGCGAATTCCTGCACTATTTGGGATTAAGGTTTCCAACTTTATGGGCTTTACTGTACTTACAGGATCACGGGACTTAGTAAATTGGTTGTAATTGGCCTTATAAGTCCCCTAAGTGGGGTTATCCTAAGTATAACCCACTTAAAACCTTGCTTACCAAGTCCCATGAGCCTTCAAGTATAGGGTGTGGGCAACCAGTGGGATGAGCTTTCCGCGGAAACTCCATGGATCCACGATCGCTAGGCATGTCGGTCCGTGGTGAGCATGACAGCAGTACCTGGACCCCCAAAGTATGTAGAATAATAGCCTTTTATAGGTTTTGGGCCATTGACCCCAAAAGTATGTAGAATATTAGCCTTTTATAGGTTTTGGGCCATTGACCCCAAAAGTATGTAGAATATTAGCCTTTTATAGGTTTTGGGCCATTTTATACCTACTTTTGGGGGTCTAGGTAGGAAGGAGGCTCTGCGACTTCGGAAGCCCCAGTGCTGGTCGCAGAAGGTTTCGATGACGACGAGGGGCCAAGACTCCAGCACGACTTTTATCCCCTACAGTAGAAGCCAGAAAGTTGGAATATGATTATCGTAACCCCTTTAAGGTAAATTATAGGGGATCCTACCATTAATCCATATTCCAACTTTCTGGAGTTCCCTATATCTTCGAAGTCGACCAACCCCCAATCACCAATGCCCACATCATGAACCTCCTACTACCTGACCCTTACCCTAAGCTTCCTAGACCCTTGTAGCGAGGTCCCAAATCCTAGCCCCCAATGCCGAAACACTCCCCCAGAAGGCCCAAGACCCGCTTACGAGCCTTAGGGTAAGCCCTTAAAAACCTGAACCCCCCAAATTAAGCAAAAATAACGACCAGAACCTATGAAAGGTCATTATTCTGCACACTTTGGGGGTCCAGATAAGCTCCAAAAAAGCCTGGATGCCAAGGCCGTTGAAATGACACCCCCCTCAACTTTAACAGTCACGCTAACCCAAACACCCCCGCAAGCCCGAAACCCTAAAAACCCTAAACCCTCAACCCTAAACTCTAAATCCGGAACCCGAACCCCGAAACCTCTTAAACACCCCTGTAGCTTCAGAAGCACTTAAAGAACCCCTTACACCCAAGAACCCGGAGATCGCAATGCTCCTGTAAGTAAGGAACTGAACATAATGCGAAGCTGTTCAGCCCCTATGTATAACTTAAGGAATATTTTGATTAAGGGATTTGGGCCCTACAACCTATAGTTCCTGAGAAGTGTGCCCGGAAGCTGACAATCCCGCAAGACATGTGCGCCTGTACATGATTGCAGCAGCACCTTGGATTTCATGGGAGCTATGTGCTATCATTCGTTCCAATCTCATTGCTTCTTTTTTGGCTTAGACCTCTGTTTTTCGGTATTGAATGTATTGCTTCGGTTCTGCTTATCGTGTTCAGGTTATGACCCCTTCATTTGGGGGTCTAACCCCTAAAACAGTAGGTTTGTGGATCCCTAGGTATATGCTACTTGAAGACTTTATCGTTTTGGCGTCATGTTCGGGACTGGCTAGGATTAGGAATAAGGATCCTGCAGGCGGGCTTTACTGGCCGAATGAAGCAGGTCCGAAATTAAGTCGTGGCGTCGTAGCTCCAAACCGTCCGGGATCTGAGGGACTGGTAGAGTTCAGCTCTTGAAGAACTGTGTCAGTTGCGTGTTTTCCCATCGCTGCAGATGTACTGTAAGGGCCTTAATATCATTCCACTAGGCTTTGGGGGCTCCTTATTATAAATATACACTGTTACACAGTATCATATACCCCCCAAACTCTATTCTAATCATTAGGGCCCCTAGACTACTGGCCACGCCTTGTTGCAGTTATGGCCAATACTTGGAGGATCATGGGACGTAGTAAGTAAGGTTATAAGTACCTTAATTGGGGTTATAAGTAGTTATAAGTATAGTTACCCTAATTATAACACTAAGTCCCATGATCCTTTAAGTGGACCCTAAAGCCTCCCTTATAGAACCCCTATAGATCCCTTTTAAGGAGCCCTTTTAAGGATACTAAGTCCCATGATCCTTTAAGTATGTGAACCCCTGGAGCAGATCCAGCGAAAACCTGATCGAAGCGGGTACCAAACGAGGACTCCCCAACTGCCCTTCACTAGAGCCCTTATGGTCCGCAATAGTGCGGTTTAGGGTTTAGGGTTTAGGGGGTATTTAGGGTATATTCGGAGGTAGTTGGGAGGTCCAGGGGAAAACCCTAAACCCTAAAAGCCCATATTTCGATCTACAGACACCAACAAACTCAGGGCCCGCGGGCAACAGTGCGTTCCTCAGGAACGGCCTGAGAGCCTCGTGCAGCTTAAACAAGCATCTCCATGGCCAGGTTTTGCATCACCGCCGATCAGCTCTTCCCAGTCATCCACAATCATGGCGTTGGTGCGGATGTGCCAGACATCAGCCCTAAACCCTAAACCGTTCCCAGAACTTCCTGCATCTCCTCTGTGGCTCCACCGGCTAGCTTTGCACAGTCTAGTGCTTGGACCACATCATCATAAGGACCGTTAGGCGGGCAGGGGGAGGGAGGGTAGCGGGCCGTGATACCTATAATAATAAGGACTTAGTAAGGCCTAGTTAGGGACGTGTAGTCCCCTATGACGTCATGGTGCACGATACAGAAGGTGTTCCTGTCAGTCAGAGGAGGAACTGCAACACATCATAGCACTAGTGTCATGCACATTGGGCAAGCCTCAAACCCTAAAACCCAAAACCTCATAACCTACGAAAGTGTCCAAGGTTAGCCGCTCAACTGCGAAGTGAAAGTCTGGCAATACTAGGATCATAGGACTTAGTAAGTAAGGTTATATGTACCTTAAATGGGAATACAAGTAGTTATAAGTATAGTAACCCTACTTATAACCCTAGTTACTACGTAACATTCTGACTTTAACCCCAACCTAGAGGCTCCAACTATAGTACCATTATGGAATTAGGTCCCCAAAGCCATGATATGGATGGTCTTTTGGGACGTAGTTCCATAATGGTACTATACATGGAGCCTCTGGGTAAGGGTGCAAGTAGTTCTCGTTTCGGGTCTGGGTGCCTAGCAACGCCCCATGGTCCTGCAACAGGGAGTACTTCGAACTTCGACCCTTAACGGAACTATTGTTTAACCCCTACAGAGACCTTTAAAGCAACCCCTATCGAACCCCTAAAGCAACCCTTAAAGGAACTCTTATAGACCCTTAAAGGAACCCTTAAAGGAACTCATAGACCCTTAAAGGAACCCTTAAAGGAACTCTTATAGAACCTTAAAGGAACCCTTAAAGAAACTCTAAGGAAACCTTAAAGGAACCCTTAAAGGAACTCTTATAGACCCTTAAAGGAACCCTTAAAGGAACTCATAGACCCTTAGAGGAACCCTTAAAGGAACACCAAACCCTTAATGGAACGCTTAGGGTAACAGAGTGCCGAGAGCCCGGCATCTGCGCCGTCGCCGGGTGATGCCCAGTCGGGCCAACCCTTCGACTCTTGGGGCTCCTGCTTTCTGTAAGCTTACGGGGCTTCATAAGTAACCAGGGAGAAAAAGTATATGTATATATATATATATATACATATGTATATGTATGTGTATATATATATATATATATGTATAAACTTCTATTTCATAATGGTTCCTTTGAGAAAAACGTAATAAAGTATGGTACTCCATAGCCCAGTTTAATGGGGGGTAGGGTTGAAGGGGAATGGAGGTTCAGGCCTTTAGGGTATGGTCAATAGTCCTCAGGAATCCTCTGTGTTGGGGACCGCCTTCTCTTGGAAACTCCTGGGTTTAGGGTTTAGGGTTTTCCCTGACCTATCTCAAACTCTGAACCCGTTATAAGCGCTGCACCTTGACCCTAAACCCGGCAAAAAAAAACAAACACTCAAATATGGGCACCGAGATCCTTGAGAGCATCCAGGAACAGGCGCGGATGGCGCGCAAGAAGGCGCTGAAGTGGCGTGAGGAACTTGGGGTAAGGCCTCCCCAGGCGGCGTGGCATTGGGTGATGTTTTTTGGGATATACGGGATGTGTCGGTTGAGGGAGTTCGACTACGGTCTTGGGGTGTCGTCAACATAAAAGTCTCCCCAGGGCTAAGGGTTTCCCAAAGGGTGCAAAGTACCTATATAGTAGAGTGTAGGGTTTCTGTATTAGGAATTTCTTCGTTGATTTGGGGAAATATGCCCGTAACAGTACCTAAGACCCTTTGGGTTTGCAAGAATCTCACTTCCCTGCAGCTCTTGATGGACGGTTCTTACGGCCTTCACTTCAGTGAGCTAAGCAACCGAACCTGAGCCCAAAACCCGCTCCCCAAAAAATGCTCCAAGCCCTACACAGCTGAAGCCTAAAACCTAAACCCTGCACCCTAGACCTCCAATACTTCAAAGCCAGAACCCGGCTCTGAAACGTAGCATTGGTTCCGCTAAGGGTTCCTTTAAAGGAACCTCATAAGGGTCCCTAAACCCTAAAACCGAAATCCCGAATCCCTAGACCCCTACATAAACCTCCTTTCAGGCCCTCCTAACCCAGAGGCTCCATGTATAGTACCATTATGGAATTACGTCCCAAAAGACCATCCATATCATGGCTTTGGGGACCTAATTCCATAATGGTACTATAGTTGGAGCCTCTAGGTCCCTAAACCCTAAACCCTAAACCCTAAACCCTAAACCCTAAACCCGGCCTCCCATCGAGGGTCTCTTGAGTCCGCTGCCGCGATGCTGCCCTGGTCAAGCAACGGGGAGGGCAAGGATGGGTTTTAGGGTTTAAGGGTTTAGGGTTTAAGGGTTTAGGGTTTAGGGTTTAGGGTTTAGGGTTTAGGTTTTAGGGTTTAGGGTTTAGCTTAGAAGGGGCCCCCACCCTGTAATAGTGACCATAAGGATTATATAGGATTATATTAGGGCCCTATTATATTCCTATTATACCACTATTACGGGGTGGGGGCAGCTTCTAGGGTTTAGGGTTTAGTAGGCTTTACCCTAAGGCCCTAAAGTAGTTCCTTTTTGGGGTTCATATTTAGAATCCTATTGGGTAATCCCAAAAAGGAACTACTTTGGGGCCTCTGGGTACACACCCTAAACCCTAAAAATGCGGAGTTGGGGGAATAAGGTTTACACCCTAACCCCTCAAAACAGGGTTGTGGGTTTGGGGTTTGCACAACCTAAATCCGAAAAATACGGATTTGGGGCTTAGGGCTTACATTGCGGGGCTTCAAACCTGTGGGGTATGGTGGTGTGGAAGGATCTACAAAGGTCGGTGTGTGTGTGTGTGTGTGTACCTGCCTCCGTCCTTCCATCCATCCTTCTGTCCATGGGTAGCTCTCTAAATTAATGGGGTCCCGTTTTGGGGCGCCAAACAGTACGGCACCCTGATGAAAAGGTTCCACAAGCTACCCTAATTTATAGAGAACTACCCCCATCCATTCCCTGTCTGCGGCTAACAACCGAACACCTTGACAAATGAGGGCAAATGCTGTAGAGGCCTTCAGAATTAGAAAACGGGATAACCACACAACAGCATTGGTAAATGCTTGGGCCCTGCGTATCGGCATCTTCAACTGTGGATCATCAGTCAGTAGCAGTCACGCTCATCAGCTGGCAGCCAGGCATCTACTAGGGTAAGTGGGTTTGGGCTAGGGTTTAGGATTTAGGGTTAACTGCCAGTTGGGGGATAGGCACGGAAGGAACGGAACTGGCACAGCAAGATAGGGGACACCACAACAACCATATACACACCCGCACAAGAGACCTAAACCAGACCTCCCCCAAGCTCGCGCCCCTAAAAGAAACTTGAAACCCCACATCTTAAACCCCGAAGCTCACACCCAAAGCCTTAAACCTAAGTAGGGTTCAGGGTTTAAGGTTGAGGCTTTAAGGTTTCGGGCGTTACCTTAAAGGGTGCAATGGACTTTCGCACTGCCGTGTCCTCTCCTTGTTGAGCTTGCGACTTGAAAAATAGGCTTGAGAAAAGTTGCACACGTCCCTGTCAGAGTGAACATCAAACACCACCCCTCAGGTGTCACCCCACTGGTAACTGCAGGCAGTTCCGAAACATGTAGAAGCACTTCATCAGGAGCAACGAGTAGTTCCGGATCAGGGAAAACAGCAACACCAGCATTTTTACTGTGACTGTTACCATTACTTTTACGACTACTACACCACTACGACTACGACTACGACTACTACTACTACTACTACTGCTACTACTACTGCTACTACTACTGCTACTACTACTGCCACTACTACTACTACTACTACTACTACTACTACTACTACTACTACTACTACTACTACTACTACTACTACTACTACTACTACTTTACTACTACTACTACTACTACTACTACTACTACTACTACTACTACTACTACTACTACTACTACTACTACTACTACTACTACTACTACTACTACTACTACTACTACTACTACTACTACTACTACTACTACTACTACTACTACTACTACTACTACTACTACTACTACTACTACTACTACTACTACTACTACTACTACTACTACTACTACTACTACTACTACTACTACTACTACTACTACTACTACTACTACTACTACTACTACTACTACTACTACTACGACCCACCATCCGCCCGGTCCATTGCTCACTGCATCCGTATCAAGCATCTTTTCCTTGGCCGCTGGCGTGCTGGGACGTCGACTGGCTTGGCTCTGTTGCCGTTTGCCCTTCCCCTTGAAAGTTAGCAAGGTGAATCGTATCTCGGTGATGGCGGACCAGACCTTCGTCATGGCCGAGGCGTGAGGCCCGTCCCATAGCCACATCTCCTTGCTCACCTCTTAGGCGACCCGGGGCTGTACCACACTGACTTTGGCATACGCACAACTCTTCGATCGTGGCGAGCTGCACCTCCTGTCGTGCCAGGAACCGGTGCAGGCTCTGCCTTGGTTGCTTACGAGTCCACTCGTCATCCGCCATTTGAACATGCACAACATGCACAACATGCCGACAGAAACTCTTTGCAGGCTGCCCCAAGCACTGCGCATGCTAGAGAGGATGCTGGAATCACGGGGCAGGCTGAAGAAAGCGATCTTTTTGCCCTTTGTTGGTGCCAGCGTCCGTCCCGGCTAATTTTCATGAAGAATGATCCAACCACCTTCGGCTTCATGCTCGGCAAAGCTTGCATCAGGGGCAGCACTATCGTGTTTACGAAGCCACTCCAATCCAGACCAATGTTGAATGCATTCCCAACAGTAATGGTGAACATGGGCCGGCTTCCGTCTTGTGCAAACCTTCTTGCCGCACACGGCCAGTAAAGCTTACCTACAAGTTTCGGGTTTTGGGGGTTGAAACTTCAAGTTCAGGGTTCACGGGTTCAAGGGTGGAGGGATTAGGATAAGCCACCAACAGTCGAACACCTGAAACTCCAACCACCAAACCTTGGAACCCGTTAAGGTGTATTGAAGGGTAGTTGGGGGTCTAGGTCAGCCCTTATATTAACCCTACAGCCCTAAAACCAGAAACCCTTTGCTGAACCCTTAAAGCACCCGAAAAGGAGATTAGGCGTAAATTGAACCCTTAAACTAACCTTAGACCAGTGAGCCCCAATACCCGGCCAAACAATGAGTAAATCAGGAATATGCCATCACAATCCATCCTTTTCAGTTAAGATGCCTTCCTTGGTTAAAGTCTACTGAGGGGCTTGGGACCTAAACCCTGAACCCGAAAACCCTGAGCAAACTCCCCAAATCGTAAACCCTTGTAGAGCTCATAAATCTCTCGTAGTTGAACCCTCTCACCCTATGGGTCCAAGTACCTATACTCCAAAATAGTAACCTACACAACTACTATCCTAAATACCTAATTATTGGGTCCTTTGGACTCTTGGGGTCAAACCCGAAACCCAACACTTTTTGCCTTGAGGTGCAAGAAGTTGGGCGAGAGCTCGTGGTCCCGGAGAGCCGGGAGTCTCCCCTGAAGAGGTTCTAAGGGGCCAATAAACGGGGGTTTCAGGGTACTTAAAGGATCATGGGACTTAGTAACTAGGGTTATAATCAGGGGAACTATACTTATAGCTACTTATATAACCCCACGTCAGGTACTTATAACCTTACTTACTAAGTCCCATGTTCCTCCAAGTATATGGTATAGGGTTTGGAGTTGGGTCTCTGTCGTATATGGGTCTTAGGATTTAGCGCTCTGCGCTTGTGTTCCCAAAACGTTAATCAAACAGGGCGGTTATAAAGTTTGTCCCCCCCATCCCCAATAGTAGGTATTTAAGGTAAAATGGAAAGTAGTCCAGGTATACACCGCAGAGACCTGTAGAATATCTTCTTTTTTGGGACTGGCCCAGATCCGAAATCGAGGGTGGATGCAGGCGCCAAGTATACCCAAAGATCATTCCCCTAAACCCTAAGCCCCCTAAACCCTAGAACCCCATAGATCCCTTATAGATCCCTTTAAAGGAACCCTCATAGATCCCTTTAAAGGAACCCTAATCCCGATAGTTCTCCGTTTGAGATCTGGAGCCAAGCTGAGTCCCCGACCTCTCAGAAGCGCGGGAGGGCCCTCGTCGCGTCAGTGCTTCGGGCTCGGGGCTTTTGTGGGCTTAAGGTTTAGGAGTTTAAAATTTAGGGTTTAGGGTGTAAGGGTTTAGGGGCACAGGGGTGGGCTTAAGGTTTAAAAGAGCTTAAGAGTTTTGAGGTTTTAGGGTGTAGGAGTTTAAGGGCACAGGGATTTAGGGTTTAGGGGTGCCAAGATTTCGACTTGAGCGAAGCAGAAAGGCGGAGCAGCAGCAGGAGACCGGAAATGCGACAAGAAATGGCCCGAAGCCGAGCAGCGCAAAAAACAAAAGCGCGGAAGCAGACAATCGGAGGAGGCGAACCCAGAGAGCCCAAGGGGCCCCTTAATTAAGGAATACGGCTTAAATCAGAATATGAGGCCCCTTAATTAAGGAATACGGCTTAAATCAGAATATGAAGCCCCATAATGATTTAAGGTATATTCCTTAATTAAAGGGTATTAGAATCCCCTAAACCCTACAGCCTATAGATCCCTTAAAGGAACCCTAGGTATTCCTTAATTAAGGGGCCCCTTGGGCTCTCTGGGAAGCGCAGCAGCGCAGCGCTGAGAAGAAAAGTGCAGAAGCGCTTGAGGATGGGACTGGAAGCCCAAAGGCTCCATGCACATCCCAGAGACTCCAAAACCCCTTAATTAAGGAATATACCTTAAACTATGATAGGATCCCTAATAAGATTTAAGGTATATTCCTTAGTTAAGGGGTTTTGGAGGCTCTGGGATTGAACCACAAGGGGTTCTATAAGAGTTCTATGAGGGTTCTATTAGGGTTTAGTGTAGGGCTCAAGGCTCCATGTACCCACAAAGTAGGTACATAGGCCTTGAAGTACCTATACAGGGACCCCTTCAAGGCCTAAGTACCTACTATATGGGTACATGGAGCCTTAGGGAAGGGCAGGCAGATGGAGAATCAGAAAAGCGCAGCAGCAGAAGGACACACGAGCCCAGGAGCAGACGGGGGGGGGGGGGAAAGAAAGCAGCCGTGGGGCACACTACTGTTGATGGACAAAATCCTGCATGACCCTAAGGACTCTAAACTATGGGAACTCTGGTATATTCCTTATAATGGGTGATGCAGGATTTTGTCCATCAGCGGTATCATATTAGGGGGTAGTTGGGCTCGTTCTGGCAATTCCGGCCTTTGGCTCTGTGGTTGGGCTCGAGGCACGAATGTAGCAACTTCGTCTTAGAGCGGATTCTCGGATGAGACAAGACTCCTTCGACTCGAAGTCATGTCGTTTCGGTTTTTTCTTCTTCTGCCGCCAGGTGTATAGTGTTTAGGGTTTTAGAGGTTTGGGGTATATAGGTCGTATGGGTGTAGGGCTGTCATCCGAACTTTGGAGCTCTCACTATCAGCTCTGGGCCCCGATTACAGTAGAAGAATATCCTGATGTTCGGAAACACCACCAATTCCAAGAATGTCGTCATTTCTCCTAAATCGCCGGATGTCTGAAAGTGAGTGTCACAGAATACATAACACCTTTTTCTTCTACCAAAGCTCTGTCAATCCGAATTTCAATACTTGCCTGAACCCTAGACCTTGAACCCTAAACCCTTAGACCCTAAAACCTTACTGTATATAAGGCTTTGGCGCAAAACGCGCCTCGGGATTCGGTTCCCGGCCGGGCTGCTGCGCGAACCTTTGCAGCTTCGAAAGACCTGGGCGTTTAGTGTTTCAGAATTAGGGGCTTAGTGCCTATTGGGTTTAGGGGGTTTGGCTTTTGGGGGTTTGGTGTTCAAGGGTTTAGGGCCTAGGCACTGAGATTTAGGGAGCTATCTTGCTCGGGTTTAGGGACGGGGACTGAAGGTGCCAACTTCAGTTGGACTTAAAGTACGCCGCCGCCGTAAGGTTTGCACTTTCATGGCCGCCTCTAAATGCAACGGCAGTGTACTAGGGATGAGGACGATGTCGAACAAGATGGTGACATTGATCCCAGCACTTCAGGAACTTGAAGACACTTAGGGTTTAGGGTCTGGTTACTGTCTACGGGCCAAACCCTGAATCACCCGTGGAAAAAACAACTCACGAAGACCCTGCTCGAAACCCTGGTGAACATGGGGTTTAGGATTTAGATGTAAGACCCAACAAACGATTGGAGCCCTGCTGAGCGTTGGAATAAAGAAGACCTTGCAGGCCGCATAACCCCCCAGACAACCTTATTCAGCCCTATTGAAACCCTATCCACAAGCGCAAATACGGGCCCTTACACAACAAAAGCCAAAAACACGCACAGACAGTCTCGGATCTTTACAATCCAAAGTAAAATACCAGAAGGGACTCCAAATAAACCCTAAAACAAAAACCCTGCACCCTAAACCGCAAAACCGTAGCATTTCTGTGTTGACCAAGAAAATCTTTGAAGGGACTAAAACTAGAACGGATATAGGCACTACAACGCAGGTGGAACTAGCAGAATCAAGCATGGGAGTTTCCGAAAATTAAGGGTACCGTATTTTGGTGTACTTATAATCAGGATCCTACTATCTAGGGTACTATATCAGGGCCCCCTATTTCCGGAAACCCCCGCATAGCCGGAATCTGGGGGCCCAGCCAGGTCAGAAATGCGACGAGCCAGAGGAGCTTTAAGGATGTCGGCAGAGCCTGGCAAAAGAGTTTAGGGTTCAGGGTTTAGAGTTTAGGGTTTAGGAGGGTCAGGGGACGTACCTATGTGGGAGATGCTTACCCGGATCATGATAGGGTTTGGGAGGTTTGGGGTTTTTAGGGTATGACGTTTACCCAATGTGCATGACGCTAATGCTATGATATGCTGCAAGACCCGCACACAACTAAGTGACCCTTAGTTGCGTTGTCCATGAGCAAAAACAGTACAAGGAGCCCCTGAACCCCGAACCATAGAATCCCACAGCCGTATCCCCGAGCCACCCCGAGCTCTTCTTGCACCGCTCCACAGCCTAAATCCAGAAGAAGCCTACCCTAAACCCTATATCCCCTAAAACCCTGAACCCATAAACCCCTAAAATATGGAGAATAATAGCCTTTTATAGGTTTTGGGCCATTATTTTTTCTATTTTGGGGGTCTAGGTAAACCCTGCCTGTTGAGTACCGTTGCCGTGGTAGCTGAGATGCTCCAGGCCGATCTTCAACATGCACTCCATGAACCTTCGGCTTACTGAGTTTTACCGGTTTAGGGGTTTAGGTTTCAGGGTTCAGGGTTCAGGGTTCAGGGTTCAGGGTTTAGGGTTCAGGGTTCAGGGTTCAGGGTTCAGGGTTTAGGGTCTAGGGTTTAGGGCTCGTTTGAAGGTCCCTTGAGGCATCTATAGGGAATCTATACCGGTATAACCCATATTATGGGACTTATGTCTCCACTTGTAGCTACCCATGAGCCTTCGGCTTATGGGGTTTAGGAGTTCAGGGGTTTAGGGTTTATTAGGACAGCGTTTTTTGCGCATACTATCCCATAATCATAATAACGACCCCAACTAGGGAACAGTCTTACTATTTACGAATCACTCAGGCTTCTATGCTGACCAGGACCCCCCCAATGGCCCCTTATGGAGCCCTTGTGGTACTTATAGCAGGTATTTAGGGTATATCAGAGTGTAGTTGGGGGCCCCCTAAACCCTAAACCGTTTGGGGGTCCATTAAGGGGGTTGTTTGGGGGGTTTTAGGCTCTGTGAAGTCCACCAACCATGCTTGGACATACATGTACCCAGACCTTCCAAAATCCCTTCATTAAGGAATATACCTTAGATTATAGTAGGATCCCTAATATGATTTGAGGTATATTCCTTAATTAAGGGATTTTGGAAGGTCTGGGTAGTATGGGGGCCTTACAATGTTCAGACTAGAGCTTTGGAGGGATTGGTTACGGGTGTAGGGTTTGGGTTTAGGGTTTAGGGTTTAGGGTTTAGGGTTTAGGGTATAGGGTTTAGGGCTTAGGGAGGATATTATGCCGTTATTACATACATGGGACTTTGTCAGTAAGGTTATAGGATTTGTTCGTTGTTCGTGGACCCGGGACCTTGAGTGATCTCTACTTTGGGGTTCATGGGGCTTAGTAAGGAAGGTGATAAGTACCCTAATTGGGGGGGTGGAAGTAATTGTGAGTATAATTGGATTACCTGAAGTTATAGCCCTAGTTACTAAGTCCCATGATCCTTTCAGAACACTACCTCGGCAAGGGCTAACACAAGGCAATCATAATCAATCATAGTCGACAGTGGCAAACATACGCTAAAGAGATCCATTCCGGGTTACTGCTGCTGGCAGGTCTCAGGCAGCAACTCAGCGATGTACATCTGGGCATGTGCTTCTGGTTGAGCTGTGGTTTACCACCAAGCATGCGAGTACGTGACCTCCGGGCTCGCTGCAGAGGTGAGCTGAGCCTCGGTCCATTCTCGGTGCGTTCACTGTTCCATGTTCAGTGGAATCATGTTCTGCATGGTGCTGGGCTACCTGTGCAAACGATATGTGTTTCAGGAAACCCAAAGTCAAGGATGCCCGGGAGCGGTATGTGGCCAGTGCCAGGCTCGCAAACTCCTGACCGTTTTGGTCTGTTTCTCCACAGGCCTTGTCGCCGGTCACACCCATAACGCCCATCGGTACTCGCCCGTTGAGGTCAAGTCCACAGACCACCAGGCTAGACTTCGCCAGTGGAAGGAGGGCCTCGCGCAAGTTCAGCATGAAAATGCACATAGGCTTTCCCCGAAACCCTAAACCCCAGGGTCCAGGCAGACGTGCAACCTAAAAGCCGGACGCCCGCGAACCCGATGCTCATAGTCACCCCTTGCCCGTCTTGGAGGATCATGGGACTTAGTAAGTAGACGTTACAAGTAGCCTCATTGGGGTTATAGCCAGTTATGCGTCTAGTTACTGTGTTGATAACCCTAGTTACAAAGTCCCATGATCCTTTCAATACCCCTTAACAACCCAAAAAGATCCCTTAAAGGGACCCTTTCAGGAAGCCCAGTTGCTTTAAGCAAAATCTACAGAGGTCCTCTGAGCCCTAATTGACGAAGCCTAAATCCCTAGAAAGCCTGAAACACTCGCCAAACCAAAAACGCACAGCCCTAAATCTATCCCTAAGGCTCAAAGTAGCTTCGGAAGCTTTATATGGTATGATGTTCAGACCCGAAACCCTGCAATATAAGTCTTTAGAGCCATGCGGTACATACCTACCAGCCACTGAAGCAGCATTTTTCCGACCCCACAAACCCTGAAATCCCAAACCCCCCCCCCCCGAATCCCAAAGTTGTGCATGTCAAGCAACGCCACAGGTCCAAAAACTCTCCGGGTGGTACCAGCAGGCGCCTAAGGGAACAAAGAAGCTGGAAGTTGTTCTTTGTTGTGGTACTGTTTAGGGTTTAATATTCTTCGCTTCTTGTTGGGCTGTATGGGCTTTTGGGTATTCGGGCTTGGGAGTTTGAAGCTCCCAGTGATGTGTGTTCTTTTGGCTGCGCCGATCGGGCTGTAGGGCTGCCAGGGTTGGGATTTGGGGGTAGGGAGAATTCAAGAATGTTCTTTGAGCTTCAAGGTTCTGGGGCTCGTGATTAGGGTTTAGGGTTTCGGGCAATTAGCAAAACACTGGGCTTCCTAGAGATTGTTCGGGTGCATTGTAAGAGTGCTTCGGATTTGATATAGCGGGTTAGGGTTTAGGGTTCAAGGTGTATGATACTTTGCCCAAGCTCAAAGCTGGCCGAGCGATGCCTAATCCCGAACACTAAACTCTCTTGTTGATGTGTGAATGCTGCACATGGCTTATGTACCTTACAGTATGCAACCTTTTAGTATGTTACTTCTAGTGGATATTGAAGCATTTTGTCCGTCAGCAGAAGATAACCTTTGAAAACCCTATAAGGCCTCAAGAAAAACACCAGAATGCTGCCAGGACGCCGTCTCGGATGTCGCTAGAAAAAGCGGATGCGCATTCCTGGACTCCGTGCTGTCTGTAGCGAGACTTGAGTTGGAGTCAAGGATGGATCGGGTGGTTGTTGTTGTTGGAACATGACATGCTTCGTTCCGCAAACCCTATAGGCCCTAGTTCATGCAGTAATCGTTCATTAAAAGTAACGTGAAAAAGCTATGCTTTGTCGATAGGTTGGCGTCGCCCTCAGGCACCTCCGGGTTTAGCACTGGTGCTAACCCTATAGATCTTGTAGCAACCTTACAGCTACCCTTGTGGTTGCCCTTGTAGCAAACCTTGTATAGCTTACCAGACAGCTAATATAGGTGCCTCTACAATAACCAGTACCATTCTGGGGGTTCCTTAGTATGATGTCCAGCATCATATACACCAAAACCCTATTCCACTTACTAAGGCCCCTAATAAAACTACGCTGTACTGTTTACCCTCGGTTGTTCCCCCTTCTATGTCCCACCCTGCTCCAGGCTCAAGTCTGGGGTTTAGGGTTTAGGGCTTAGGGTTTATTGCATGCGGTTTAGGGTTTAGGCTTTAGGGTGACACGAACATCCAGATAGCACGTTCGGCATGGTAGTGCACACACATTTGCCGTAATCCCAACTTTAACATGCCACACCCCGCAGGAAACTACATTCATCCCGCGAAAAAGATACAGACCCCTGTTTGACCTTGGAAAATCAAAATGCAAACCGTGTGCTGTCCGATTAGGTGATTAGGCGTTAAGGTTCCCGAAAACACTAAACATGAATCTTGCAAGCACGACCGAAACCAAAACACAGCCAGAACAAAAGCATCTGTGCAACACCCTAGCCCCTTATAGCGCCTCAAACAAGTCCGAAAACAAAAAGAGCATGTCTATCAACCCTGGCCCTAACCCTAAACCCCAAACCCCTAAACCCCAAACCCTAAACCTCTAAACCCTAAACCCCGCAACCCCTAAACCCCTAAACCCCTTTAAAGGAACCCTTATAGATCCCTTTAAAAGGAACCCCTATAGATCCCTTTAAAGGGAACCCTAAACCCTAAACCCAGCCGAAGGACTTGGACATCTGTCTCACACGATCGGCCCTGCGCACCTTGGAATTGGAAATGCGAGCTGAGATGCAGCCTTTTGAGCATCTAGGGGTTACTTGGAGGATCATGGGGTTTAGTGTTCCTTTAAAGGGATCTATAGGGGTTCTAGAAGGGATCTATAGGGTTTAGGGGTTTAGGGGTTTAGGGTTTAGGGGTGTAGGGGTTTAGGGGGTTTAGGGGTTTAGTAAGCCCAAGGGTCCAGGTACCTAATAATCATATACTCTCCAAAATCCAGACCTACATAACTACTATCCTAAACCGAGTACCTAATTATTGGGTCCTTTGGACCCGTAGGGCTATATTTTAGAAGCTGCCCCCACCCTGTAATAGTGACTATAAGGATTATATAGGATTATATTAGGGCCCTATTATATTCCTACTATACCACTATTACAGGGTGGTGGCAGCTTCTAAGCTATATTAAGGGAAGCCAAGAGCCTGTTCAGGGGATGAAGGCTTCAGGGCTTGAGGGGATTGAAATCCTTGTTTGGGGGTTTTATATGGGAGTTTCCGAAAATAGGGGACCCTTATAGTACCTTAAATTAGTAGGATCCTTATCATAAGGCCCCCAGAATAAGGTACCCCTAATTTCGGAAACTCCCATATGGCTTCGACTGAAGACTTCAGGGGGGTTCAGGGCGAATTTGTGCGCTATTTGGCGGCTTTCCGAGTTTAGAGTCTGTGTACAGTCTAGGTTGTACTCACTGAGTCTTTCGGTGTTGCGGGTGTCAGAACCCAGGTTTTTTTTTTTGAAGGTATGGCGTTCAGGGATTGAAAATCTAGCCGGCTCAAAACCACGCAGATGAATCACATGAAACCCTGACAAAAGCCGCCAGCATCACAGTATAAGACCCTTCCAGAATTTTCAAGGGGCAGGGTTTGGGGAATTCTTTAAACCCTAAACCCTAAACCCTAAAACCCTAAACCCTAAACCCCTAAAACCCTAAACCCTAAACCCTAAACCCCAAAACCCTAAACCCAAAAACCCTGAACCCTAAAGCCCTAAACCCTAAAACCCTAAACCCTAAACCCCTAAACCCTAAAACCCTAAAGCCCTAAACCCTAAAACCCTAAACCCCTAAAAAACCCTAAACCCCAAAACCCCAAAACCCTAAACCCCAAAACCCAAAACCCCAAAACCCTAAAGCCCTAAACCCTAAAACCCTAAAACCCTAAAGCCCTAAACCCTAAACCCCAAACCCCAACCCCAAAACCCAAAACCCTAAAACCCCAAAACCCTAAACCCTAAAACCCTAACCCTAAAACCCTAAAAACCCCAAAAACCAACCCCCCCCCCCCCCAAAAAAAAAAAAAAAAGCCCCCACCTGCGTCAGCAGCTTGCAGAAGTCCGCCTTGCCGAACTTGTGGAAGCCCTGTGGGTCAAGAAGGAGCAGAGCCTGAGTACGGTTTAGGTTTTAGGGTTTAGGTTTTAGGGTTTAGGGTTCAGGTTTTAGGATTTGTTAGGGGTTTAAGGGTTTAGGGGTTTAGGGGTTTAAGGGTTTAGGGGTTTAGGGGTTTAGGGGTGTAGGGGTCTAGGGTTTTTTAGGGCTCCTTTGAAGGGATCTTTAGGGTTCCTTTAAAGGCATCTGTAATAGAATCTATAGGGTTTAGGGTTTATGAGTACTTAAAGGATCATGGGACTTAGTAAGTAGGGTTATAATGAGGGAAACTAGACTTTATAGCTACTTATAACCCCGATTGGGGTACTTATAACCTCACTTACTAAGTCCCATGATCCTCCAAGTAGGAGGGTTCGGGTTTATGGGGGTTTGGGACGAAGGTAAGCGCTTTAGGGGTTTAGGGGGTTCGGGTTTAGGGGTTAGGGGTTTAGGGGCTAGGGGCTTAGGGTTTAGGGGTTTAGGGTTTAGGGGTTTAGGGTTTAGGGGTTTAGGGTTTAGGGGATTCGGGTTTAGGGGTTTCTCATGGTTTATGGTTTAGGGGTGTAGGGGTTTAGAGTTTAGGGTTGTGCTGCTTCTTGTTATTCTACTTTGTGTCGCAGGTGGCGGGGGGCTTGGAGCATCATCCTCACGACCACCATCCGTCATCATCATCAACATCACATCACACATCAGAGGGTTTATGTTTATAGGGGTCATGGTTTAGGATTTAGGCTGAGGCCTTCCGGATTTTGAGTTTCTCTCCTAAACCCAACCGCGCCTAGAAGGCTGAGTATAGAATATTCTCTTTACAATAACCTGGACCCCAAAAGTATGTAGAATAATAGCCTTTTATAGGTTTTGGGCCATGACTTTCACCTACTTTCGGGGGTCCAGGAAGACATGTTTCGTATTCCACATTGAAAACCCATTACGTAGCTCTGTGCCATGAGCCGATGCGTTGTTTGGGGCCTCAACCTTAAGGGTCCAAAGGATACAACAATTAGGTACTCGGTTTTAGGATAGTAGTTATGTAGGTCTGGATTTTGGAGAGTATATGATGATTAGGTACTTGGGCCCTTGGGGTGATATTTAGGAAAGGCTCTGTTCACAGGTTCCTACGACGTTCTACAATAAGCTTTTCAGGTTTAGGGTGCCGGGGCCGTCATCGTAAGAACAAAAGACTTGGTGTACGCTATACTATCGCTATGTAGAAACCTACTATTACCCAGAGGGTCCGAGTACCCAACATATGCCCGATTTCCTTAGATTGAAATGTCTTGGTACACTGACACCCTACTTTTCGGGCACTTGACTACATCCAACCATCGCAGCAGCTCACATAAAGACCCCTAAATCCATAATCCCATAATCCAAAGCGTCCTTTGGGTTGAGAGTTTGGTGAACCTTCAGTTATGTGCGTGGGCATCCGACTTTGACAACCAACCAGAACATGACCTCCAAGCTCAAAGAGTGCTAGGGCCAGGGGATTCAACTCCTGATTCAACACAGCCCAGAATATGTGACAGCAGCCGAAGCCCTCACAGGATATGGCAATAGTAATGGAACCCTATAACACTTCAAGGCTAAAAACTATATAAACCCGAAACCTTAAAGTGTCAACCCTCCAAACCCTGAGCCCTACACCTTGCACCCAAAACCTTCCAAACCCTGAACCCGAAACCTTAAACCCGAAACCCTCCAAACCCTAAACGCGAAACCTTAACCCCTAAACCCTCCAAACCCTAAACTCTAAACCGCAACTGCAAGCTACCAACAGTCGATTGCTCTGTAGACCCTGATGTCCTAGACCCAAGAGTAACCCAGGCATAAAAAGGATGCCCTTTTTGGTTTAAAGGGGCTTATAAGGGAACCTGAACCCTAAAAAAGGGAATAAGGGCCTACTCGAGGTCCTAGTGTCTAAAATATTGCCACCCTGTAACTGGGCTCTGACAGGGTTCCGGGTTTAGCGTTTCTATATGGTATTTCAGGGTTTAGGGTTTGTCAGATATGTTGTTATCAGTTTTGAGGGATTCTAGAAAGGGTTCGGTAGTGCAAGCACTGACTTGGTATGGCGCTTTGGGGGTCCTTGCGTCTTGTCTTCAGGGGTAGAACTTCAGCAGTCCCTTTTCGAATGACTTCGACGCCGTTTGCCAGCTGGTTCGGTGATGTCGTCACATGCCTCCGACGCATTTTCACGGTGGCTTCCAGATTCTGCCCGCAGTGTGGCGTTACCGACATGTTCAGTTACGCCCTCGTCGGCACCGTGATCCTTCAGCAAACGTACAACCTCAACGAGGCCAAAATAGGAAGCTCTACTCAAAGCTGTGTCACCTTGCTTGTCGGCCGAACTCTTGTCGGCACCGGCATCCAGAAGCATACGTGGAACCTCAACGCCATGGTACACAGAGAGAATCAATGCCGTAGAACCGTGATTGTTGGCCAAACTCGTGTCGGCGCCTGCATCCAGGAGCTCTCGCACGACCTCCGTTTCGCCATGCATAGAAGCCAGCATCAAAGCTGTGTAACCATCATCGTCGGCCAAGTTCTTGTCGGCACCGGCCTCCAGGAGCAAACGCACGATGGCAACGTCGCCCCTGTGTGACGCATAATGTAGCGGACTGCGACCAATTTCACCAATTCCGTCTGGGTGCTGCGGCCGATGTAGTATGGCCTCAACCTGCAGGGTTCTCATTACCCACAGGCCCCATAGTTGTTCCTTTTTGGGGTTCATATGTAGAATCCTATAAGGCAATCCCCAACAGGAGCTACTATGGGGCCTATGGGTGGAGCTTTGAGGAGAAGACCGCGACGATTTAGCGGCAGGGCGTCGGGTGTACATTGCAATATGGGAGTTTCTGAATATTAGGGGTACCTTATTTTGGGCCCTTGAAATAAGGATCCTATTATTTAGGCACTATATTAGTGTCCCCTATTTTCGGAAGCTCCCATACGTTCCAACGCATCCTCTTCTTCCATGTTCGAGTTCAGGCCATGTTGCTGATCCATATAGCGCCCAAAGGGTCTTAGGTACTGTTATGGGGAAAACTTCCCCAAATGAAAGAAGAAATTCCTAATATAGAAACCCTGCATTCTACTATATAGGTACTTTGGACCCTTTGGGGCGAGATTGCTGCTGCACCAGCGGTGCCAGACTTGCTGGCAATTCATGTTCCAGTGTTCTCTGGGTTATTTGTGCGAATTCAGTCTACTACTGTGCTACTACTCCATTGCTAGTGCTATTAAACTATTACTTCTGCAACTGGCACAGCCAGCCCTACAGCTACCCCTACTAATGCTGCTGCTGGTACTACTGGTACTAGTACTCGTACTAGGATTACGGCTGATGATATAAAGTATCATGCAGGGTTTATATCAACAAGCGTAGTACTAGTACTAGTACTACGGTTGATGAGTCAAATATAATGCAGGTTTTATGTCATCAGTACTAGTACTAGTACTAGTGCTACTGCTAGTACCCCCCTAAACCCTAAATCCCAAACCCTAAACCCTAAACCCTAAACCCTAAATCCTAAACTCTAAATCCTAAACCCTAAATCCTAAACCCTAAACCCTAAACCCTAAGCCCAGCCTCGGATGCGGAGCCGTGCTCTGCGGCAGCCAATAGCTCCTTCGCTTGCGTCTCGGATGCCGTGACATATGGAATCACGATCAGCTCGATGTCCATGGGTGAGTCGACTTGGGCAGTTTCGTCTAGAGGTTTGCCCGGTTCGCCGCGCAGATACAATTTTTGCATGAATCGTGAGGGCAATCCGTGCACGACATTCAGCCGCCGTTTCAGTGCCACCACGTGGCAGTCAACAGCAGCCAACTCAGCCACCGGTATGCACGCCACCTCTTGCCCTGACATCATACTGACGCGCAACATTGGCGCAAACGATTGGAACAATCTGCTAGGTAGCCAGCTGATGCCTGCGGATAGTGGTAGGAGCTGCTCATCAACATCATCAAGACACTAGCATGACTGTGGTTAGTATCAGACTCATTGTTGTTGTTGTTGTTGTTGTTGTGGTTGTTGTTGTTGTTGTTACTGCTATCATTGTCATTATCATTAGTGTCACTGTTGGTGGGTTATTGTAGTTGATACTCTTGTTGGTGCTCTTATCATCATCATAATCAGAATTATTGTTATGATGAGTATTAATAGCAGTAGCAGTAGTAGTAGTAGTAGTAGTAGTAGTAGTAGTAGTAGTAGTAGTAGTAGTAGTAGTAGTAGTAGTAGTAGTCGTATTAGTATTAGTAGTAGTAGTAGTAGTAGTAGTAGTAGTAGTAGTAGTAGTAGTAGTAGTAGTAGTAGCAGGAGTAGTAGCAGCAGCAGTAGAAGTAGAAGTAGAAGTAGAAGTAGAAGTAGAAGTAGAAGTAGAAGTAGTAGTAGTAGTAGTAGTAGTCGTCGCCGTCGTCGTCGTGGTCGGTCGTAGTCGTAGTCGTAGTCGTAGTCGTAGTCGTAGTAGTAGTAGTAGTAGTAGTAGTCGTCGTCGTAGTCGTAGTAGTAGTAGTCGTCGTCGTCGTCGTGGTCGGTCGTAGTCGTAGTCGTAGTCGTAGTCGTAGTCGTAGTCGTAGTAGTAGTAGTAGTAGTAGTAGTAGTAGTAGTCGTCGTCGTAGTCGTAGTAGTAGTAGTAGTCGTCGTCGTCGTAGTAGTAGCAGTAAGTCGTAAGTAGTAAGTAGTAAGTAAGTAGTAGTAGTAGTAGTAGTAGTAGTAGTAGTAGTAGTAGTAGTAGTAGTAGTAGTAGTAGTAGTAGTAGTAGTAGTAGTAGTAGTAGTAGTAGTAGTAGTAGTAGTAGTAGTAGAGTAGAAGTAGCAGTAGTAGTAGTAGTAGTAGTAGCAGTAGTAGTAGTAGTAGTAGTAGTAGTAGTAGTAGTGATAGTGCGCTACCTCTCAATATTCCGAAAAGAACTTCCCGCACGACAAACTAGTTCTGCTGCTTCTACTCCCCAAGCTCGGGGCTTCCAGCGGTTGTAGCAACAACCCCAGGGGTTCCCTTGGGGGTTGGTTTTAAGGGTTCCTTTCAGGGTTTAGGTTTACGGTTACAACTACTGTAATAAGGTTCTTTTAAGGGTTTACCTATAGTCTCCATTGTAGTTCCTTTTTATGGTTCAACGAATTTTATATTAAGGAGCCAAAAAGGTAATCCCAAAAGGGAACTACAATGGAGACTACAGGAAAGCCCTGAAATTGCGAGCCCTAAAGGCTGAACTTCAGCCCCGCATTTCCCTAAACCCTAAACCCCTGAAACCTAACTTTTGAAGCCCCTACCTGGACAGTATGTAGAATAAGACCCTTTTCTAAGTTTTTAAAAAACCATTATTTTACCTACTTTGGGGGGTCTAGGTACAACCTAAATTTGAAGCCTCTAACACAGGAACTACTCAAACCCTGAGAAGACTCCAATGCGCCGCGATCTTCACAAAGGCCACAAACTATATCTTAGAAACCAAAAAAATCCTTGAACAATAACGCCTACACCCGAACACCCTGAACCTGAACGCATGCACATTATAGTACTATATATATAGGGCTTTTTATTCTGTTATCTTGTACATATATATATATATATATGTATATATACCTTAACCCCAAGTAACCTACCTTTTTAAGGACTTATATAAAGAAATCATATTAGGGAACCCTAAAAAGGTAGGTTCCTTAGAGTCCAGGTACACATAAATACCCCTTGTCCCAGACCCGAGGATCGAAATTGCAGGCCCTGGGGCATTCTCCATCTCCAGCGCTGGACTGCCCTTCCCAGTCCTCTTAGCTTTACCCATAAGGCTACTATCGGGGTTCAGAGTTTAGGGGTTTAGGGTTTATGGGTTAGGTTTTTTATTGTTTGAAGGGCTCCTTTTCGGTCTGCATATGGGTTCGGATTTAGGGATTAGGGTTTAGGGTTCTTTACTACTGTTTCTTGGGGGGTTCGTTTTAAGGTTTCCTTTCAGGGTTTAGGTTTACGGTTACAACTACTATAATAAGGTTCCTTTAAGAGTTTTGGCTTTAAGGTTAACAGATTCCTGTATGCGCCTTAATAAGGGTTCAAAAATGAGAGCTTTGGTTTCGGGGCGCTAATGATTAGAGAAGGGTTTCGTGGTGTGATCGGACACCAAGTCTGTTCAAGCATTCAAACACTTCGGCACATTTGTTCGCAAGGTAGCGGAACTTACAATCCCGTTCAGGCTGATGGCACCACAAGCTGTGGTCCTAGCAAGGGTGGAGAATTCATGGTGAGTATCCCAAGATTCGGTGGTGTGAAAAGAATGAAGGAGCGAGTCATTACAGAACCAAGGAAGCAGTCTGCAATCAGCAAGAACCTTTCCCAGCACAGCAGTCGCATGTGATTCGCTGTATCAGGAGCTGCCAAGACCTGACAATATCAGTAGGGAGAATATCTGGGTCTTAATCGTTAGAATAGGGTTTTGGGGCCATTATACTATAACTATAACACGAAACCCCCAAAATGTAACTCGTAATTATCCCGGCCCCTATATTACCAATGCAGACCCCTGCAGAACCCTCTACAAAACGCCAAACAGGCCCTCTAGGCCTAAATAAACCCTAAATCCTAAAGGAACCCTTTGAGGAATCCTTACAGTGACTCCCAGAAAGTTGGAACATGAATTTTGGATGACTAGTGTTGGGATCCGCTCAAGATGCTCCAAGTTTCTGGCGTCTACTATCAAGGAACTCTTAACGGAACCCTAAACCCTAAATCTTACTTGGAGGGCAGGGGACTTAGTAAGTAGGGTATAAGTAGAGTTATAAGTACCCTAAATGGAGTTACCCCAATTATAACCCTACCTATAAACGACTTACTAAGTCCCCTGCCCCTCCAAGTAGACCCTAAACCCTAAACCCCATAGATCCCTTGAAGGAACAATATAGAGATCCCGTTAAGGAGCCCTTTGAGATCCCTTAGTAAGTCCCCTGAACCTGCACGTAAAGACAAAAGACCGTCTCCTGAGGATGAGCTGCCGGAACTGAAGGGTCAGCTCCTGGAAGGTGAAGCTTGGGCAACGGTCATACGGCTGATGAGATAAATCCTGCATTACCTTAAGGGCCCTAAACTATGGGAATTATGACATACTCCTGATTATGGGTAATGCAGGATTTCTATCATCAACCGTATGACCAATCGTCAACCCTACCTTCGGTTAGTAGGGAATGGAAGAATGGTAGTACTAGTAGTTATACTTGTACCCCATTCCTCCATTCCCGACAAACCAAAGGCAAGCATTGGAATCTCTGGGGTTCAGAGTTTTTGTATAAGCCTTCACAAGGTGCTGGGTGTTGCATGTTGTATATGACTCTTCAATGGTTTTGCAGTAGGCAGTGGGCTTTCAACAATTTGAAAGAACACTAAACCCTACTTGGAGGGCAGGGAACTTAGTGAGTAGGGTATCAGTAGAGTTATAAGTACCTTAAAAGGAGTTACCCCAATTATAACCCTACTTATAAACGACTTACTAAGTCCCCTGCCTAAGGTCTTTTCTTCTAAGGGCCTGGGGTCTAGGGTCGGACCCTGCAAGGTACCCTTGACTCGAGCTCGTGGCATGAAAGCTCGGTCGACTTTGACCCCATGTGCTATAAGCCCTGAACCCTTAAACCTCAACCCAAAACCCTAGTTGGAGGATCGTGGGACTTAGTAAGTAAGCTTATAAGTACCTCAATTGGCTGTATAGGTAATTTCCGGGAGATTTACCTTAATTTATAGCCCTACTGTTGAGAATATAAACCCTGCATTTGCCTGAAGGACCCTAGACTATGGGAATTTCTGTATATTTCTTTTTATGTGCAATGCAGGGTTTTCTATCATCAGCCGTAGTTACTTCATAGATGATCCCTTCAGCACTGTTCTTTAGGGCGCAGGGGTTGCAGAGCTTCGCATGGAAACTTCGAGTCCCAGAGTCCGGCGTTTAAGGGCCTACCTGTGACCCCAAACCCTATAGAATAGTAGGTCATTACTCTTGAATTATAGGGTCTAACCCCTAAAACGGTAGGTTTTTGGATCCACAGGTACTTACTGGATCAGGGAACCCAGATCCTAGAGACTCCAAAACCCCTTTAACTAAGGACTATAATGCCTTAAATCATATTACGGTTCCTGTTATAATTTAATTTGAGGACAACAATGACTATAATACCTCACATCATATTAGGGTTCCTAGTATACTTAGAGATTAAGGGCATAATTCCTGAATTAAAAGGTTTTGCAGTAACAGGGAGCCTGGGATTCGGGTGTGAAGTCTCGGGGTTACGAGTGCTCCAGGGGTTTCGAGGTATAAGGTATACCTGTAGCCGGAAAGACTACCTATTAGGGTTCGCTATTATGGATTCTATACATAGTTCCTGAAAAAGGTAGGTCTTTTCGGCTACAGGTAGGGTTTGGGGTTCAGAAAGACATCTTTGCCAACGGAATAGCGGAAAGGTCTGACATTTCTGAACACACATCACAACTCTGCTGGACCAGAAGCTGGACCCTATACCAAAAACACCAGATCCTGAACCACACCAGTCACGAAGAGCAGGCTTACAATTAAACACTACAGTCTCAGCTGAATGTTCTACCAACCCAACCCCCCAAAAAAAAGCCGAAGCCCTATAACCCTCAGCCCTGAAAACGCAACTCGAAGCGCCCCGCTCCCGCCGGTACAAGAACCAATGAGCCACGACCCGTCAACCTAGAAAGCCCCCATACTCTGCGACCAGGGATGATACCTTCACCCTAAATTCTCAGTTCTAAAACTACACATTTGATGTTTTAGCCAGACCTTGCAACAATAGAGGCTTCCGTGGTATTGCCGACTCTACCCTTGAACTACAGAGGCCTGCAATAATCATATATAGGCAGGATAATACTGATTGTAAAAACAACGCGAATGCTGATAATAACAGTGGTAGAAACAACAATAATACTGTTAACTGCAAAAACGTACAGTCGTTACTACTACTATTACTTCTTTTCATTATTGTTTCTTGTTGTTTGTATGAGTGTTGGAACTCCACAATTAAGGGTTCATGGGTTTATAGAGCACTCTCGGCAGTGCACTCGCGGCGCGGTCCGAGGCCCCGGCACGGCCAGTCAGCGTGCCTCGGTTCCCCGGTATCCCAAACAAAACGACAATAAAAACAAGGGTACGTAAAGGATCATGGGACTTAGTAACTAGTGTTATATGTAAGGTAGGAATACTTATATTTACTTATGACACCAACTAAGGTACGTATCACCTTACTTACTGAGTCCCATGATCCTTTAGGTAATACAGGAGCCTTATAATCATAAGGTTAGGGTTTGGATGCGTATTTTAGTATACTTACATTACGGAGCCCTAGGAATTCGATCGGCCATTGCTCCCGCATCACTAACACGCAAGTCTATTCCCTCCTCAGAGAGCCGCATACCCCTTAAATGATTGAGGAATAAACCTTCCATGTTAAAATCAAGCCGATGCTTCAAGCGCGCCGAACCTGAACACCACACGGAACACCGCTAGACAAGAACAGACAAAGGGGGCAACAGGCGTCTAATTCGAAAACAAGCTGCCCTGTTTCTCTTCGTCCAGCTTCTGGAAAAGCTCCGGTGGCGAGAGGCCATGGTTCCTCAAGGATTGGGCTTTGGGGTTGAGGGCTTCAAGGTTTGTGGTTCGTGTCGGGTTTAAGTTCAAGGCTTAGGAAGGAGGATGTCGTGACTGTATACCCAAAAACCTCAGAACACCAAACAACAGTAGTGGAAGCTTGTCGGTAGCGACCTGTCTGCCTCAGGGTATAGGTTCGGGCTGTGAGAGAGGGAGGAAGAGAGAGAGAGGATGAGATCTGACAAACCCCTGAAACCGACACCGACTCTTCCTAGGACAGGATGCTGCATGTACTGCATGAGCTCCCGGAAGAAGATGGCTGCATTCGACTGCTCCTTGGACATCTTGGCTAGGTCCTGGTTCCGAAATGGCGTTTTAAGGTTTCGGGGTTTAGGACTTTTGGGTTCGATTAGGGTTCAGGGCTTTAGGCTTTAGGGCTCCTGTAAGGGATCGACGACGGGTTCGTCTTAGGCTCTTTTAAAGGCTCCGCTTAAGGGTTGCATTAGGGGATCGATAACGTCCCGCTCATCTGCATGAAGGATCCTTGGTCCTCTCTCCTGAACACTGCCTTTAGGGTTTTGGGTTTAGGGGTTTAGGGTTTAGCGTTTAGAGTGAATAAGTACCAATACTGTTCCTTAGGGCTCCTCATAAACAGTATCGTATGCAATAACGAAAACCTAATTCAGGTCCCTACGTTGTACCCGACATCTCAGAAGCATGGCTTGCCCATCGTCGTCCAATTCTTAGGCAAAGAGCAGCACATTCACCCCGGATTGCACGGGGTCTTGCGCGAAGCCTACGCATAAAGCTAACAATGGAATTTGGACGGTTGAAAAATGAACCACCCTGTCAACCAGCGCCACCCCCTCCCCCACCCCCACGTCTGAGTTGAGGCCCCCAAACCCAATCTCTGCTAACCCTTCTGTCCTTGAGCATCACTGCGCCACAAAAACGGTAAACTCAATGAAGGACCCTCCCTATTCGACAAGGCGTCCCCCTTTGAAGCTCGCCTGAACCCCGAACAATTCCTAAACCCTAAACTACCCTCAATTCCTGAACCCTAAACCCTAAACTCAATTCCTAAACCCTTTAGGTCTAGACCCTAGACCCTCAATTCCCAAACCTTAAGCCCAGGCATATCCCGTCCTTCACCATCACATTCGCGGCTCCCGAGTTGGCCTCCTCTTTCTTGCCTCCGGCCGCACTTCACGCGCACTTAGGGTTTAGGGGTTTAGGGCTTCTAGGGATTAGGGATTCGGGCTTAGAATTTACAGAGCGCGGGGAAACACAGAAACTCCGCAGAATGGAGACCGTCTCGTCTATAGAGCTCTTGACAAGGGCTCTAAAAAGCGTTTCCAGGATCCTTTCGATGTTCCCAAACAGCCACGAAAAGGAAATCATGTGTAGTAAACGATGAACCCGCTTGAGTACATTGCAGGGGCATGAAGCCCCCAACATTTTCTTGGATCAAAACCATATCCCACTATGATGCAAAACCTTAAACCCCAAACCCCAAACCTCAAAGCCCAGAATCCGCCTAGCCCTAAAGCCCGCCCTCAAGCCCCCCACGATTTTGCAACAAGGACACCCTGAAATGATATCTCTAGACAGGTCCAGGGTATATGATTTGAAGGAATTTCTGAACCACCAGTCCTCAACCTTAGTCCCAAAGACCACCAAGGTCCGAGACTTTGACATGTCCGCAGACTCTGGATCCTAAACCCTACTTGGAGGGTCGGGGGACTTAGTAAGTAGGTTGTAGGTAGACTTATAAGTCCCTTGTACCCTAATTGGGGTTATGGTACTTATAAGTCCCTAAATAACCAGTTACTAAGTCCCCCGACCCTCCAAGTAAAGCCTAACTTCCAAGATCTCAGAGTTACCCAAAGGGTCCAAAGTACCCTTTATAGTAGAATGTAGGGTTTCCATATTAGGAATTACCATTATGATTTAGGGAAGTATCCCCCATAACAGTACAAAGGACCCTTTGGGTTAGAGAGGGCCCTCCCTACCCTGCAAGATCTTACTGGAGAGGGATGGAAGTTCCGCTAAGCCAACAGCGGTTCAGGATGACAGCGTTCCGCAGAGATTTAGGGTGTAATAAAGGCGCCTACATTATTACCAATACTATTTGGAGGCTCCTTGTTATAATCATCGTATTACGGGCCCCCAAACCCTGTTCGAATTACAAAAAGCCTATATAAGGGTTGAGGATTTAGGGGTAGAAATTCCTGGATGCTTTTACAATCCAAGCAAACAGCGAACCCTAGAGCCCTAAACTCTACGCCCCTCAACCACTGAATGGGAAAGAACCGAAGCCTCCAAACCCTAAACCCTCATAGATCCCAGCTAGAACCCTTCTAGATTCCCTCAAAGGAACCCCTAAACCCTAAACCCCAAAAAACCAAGACGCTAAACTCAAAGGCATCCTTAAGGGAACCTTTCAAGGAACCCTTAATATAGGGGCCTTAACAATTCGAATCGGGCTTCGGGGCCCATTTTACTACATTTATCATAAGGAACCGCCAAGATAGTATAGGTAATCATTTAAGCCCCTATAGCAATACCTTAACCTACCAAACCCTACTTTTTCGTAGGTTCGTATTATAAACCCTAATATGGAATTTATAGGGACCCTACAAAAAAGCAGGTTTTGGTAGGTTAAGGTAGTATCCCTAAAACATCTTGTCTTTGTCAAGTTGCTGACAGCCAGAAACGCCATGCCGAGGGTCTCGAGGTCCAGCTCCACGGCCTTTAAAGTGTTTAGGGTTTAGGGGTTTAGGGTTTAGGGGTTTAGGGTTTAGGGGTTAGGGGTTAGGGGTTTAGGGCTTAGGGGTTTAGGGTTTTGGGGGTTTGGGGTTTAGGCTGTGAGGTGCGGGGTTTCGGGTCGACGGGTTTAGAGTTTTGGGGGTTTGGGTCTTCTGTTGAGAGCTTTTTCCACTGCATCTGCAGATCCCCCGAAAAGGCAGGCAACCTGAGTGCCCACCTAAAACTACTACAGCAACTACAGCTACGACTACTGCAACCTGCTACAACCGACTAATTACAACCTGCTGCTACAACAACTACTACTATGACGACCAAGACAATGACGTATTACGACCACAGCTATCACTCTTGTTGGTGCCAGCGCGAGGAATCCTTAGTGCCTGCAGACCTTGTCCGTTAAAAACTTAAATCAAGCCAGGCGGCCAGTGGCGGCAAAAGCCTGCTGAAAATGTCCTCAATGTCCTCCTGCGGTTGACAACTACTTGGAGGATCATGGGACTTAGTAAGTAAGGTTATAAGTACCTTAATTGGGGTTATAAGTAGCTATAGTTACCCTAAGTATAACCCTAGTTACTAAGTCCCATGATCCTTTAAGTACTTGGGGGTTCATGAAACCTATAAGTCTATGTAACTACCTGGACCCCCAAAAGTATGTAGAATAATGGCCGTTTATAGGGCGCCATAATTTTACCTATTTTTGTGGGTCTAGGTATAGCTACCTCATTTAGGACCCTAGCTACAAGTCCCCAGACCCTTCGAGTAGGACTCATGCTTTGCCCCTGCTGGTTATTGGAGGTGGGCATTGCAGTTTTGCCCGAGTTTAGGGGCCTTACAAAGTTAAACAGAATAGGGAAGAGGGTTTTGGGGCCCACTATATGTTGAATGTAAGAAGGAACCCCCAAAAAAGTATGCAAGAGGCAATTATTAAGGCCCCTTTGTTAAACAAACTCCGCACTCACACGGATGAAGACAGCCCTGGCGTTTCATGGGTTTCGGCTTAAGGCTTCAGTGCACGGTTTAGGGTTTAGGGTAGGGTTTAAGGTTTAGGGTTCTAAACTCCAAAGCCTTTGATAAGGCCCGTGGAACCTCGCCACATTGTGTGATGTGACGCAATATATAGGCCTTGATGCTTGGACTGAGGGTTTGGAGGTCTCTACAGCTCAAGTATAGTCGAGAAATATCGGGAACCCGGAACGACTCCTTACCCCTCTAGCCCCACCCAAAACCCAAAAACCCCTGGCTACAGCACATGTCCTTCGTGGGAGGATTCTCAAAGCTCATGAACTGGATGGCCTCAGCCATGTGCATAGGGTTTAGGGTTTAGGGTCCCAAATGCAGCATGCTTTAAGGTGCAAGTTTCGGGCTTAGGTTGAGAGCATTTAGGGTTTAATCTCAAAGCTAGAAGACCAAGGTCACTCTTGAAAATTAGGGGTACCTTAGGGTTCCTTTAAAGGGGTACTATAAGGGTACTATAAGGGTACTATAAGGGTTCTATAAAGGGTTTAGGGTTTAGAGTTTCCGAAATCAGGTTCCCGAAAGGAACACTGCTTTTTGGATGAAGCGGTTAGCATACAGGTTCTACGGTCATGACCAGGGTGGCTGCATGCAGAGCTACTCAAACTACCACTAAGTCACTAAGTATCCGTGACCCTCCAAGACAGGGAACACTCCCTAGAATCCCACAACCCTAACTAGAAACCTAAACCCTAAAAAACCATTGAGCCACCCTACCGCTCTAAACTCAAAGGGTCTTAGGGTTTAGGATTTAGGGTTTAGGGGCAGCCTCCCCCGCTGATTGAACAGAGAAGCAATACTCAGCTCGTCGGCGCTGAGGGCTCCATTCCCGTCATCATCGAAGTATGCCTTAGAAGGGGCCCCCCACCCTGTAATAGTGACCATAAGGATTATATAGGATTAGATTAGGGCCCTATTATATTCCTCTTATACCACTATTACAGGGTGGGGGCAGCTTCTAAAGTATGCCTCATGATTTAGGTTCCTGAGTCCTGAGTATCCCCTTTATAGTAAGGGTAGCCTTATTCCTACCATCCGGTCTTAAGAAGGTGGTCTTAACATAAAAAAGTGCTATAGGCTACTTAAAGGATCATGGGACTTAGTAACTAGGGTTATAATTAGGGTATCTATACTTATAACTACTTATAACCCCAATTAAGGTACTTACAACCTTACTTACTAAGTCCCATGATCCTTTAAGTATAGGGTACTTACTACTCAGGAGCCTCATGGCTTCTGGGGGTTGAGTAGTTAGGGCTCGTACGGCTGAGGGTTTAGGGTTTGGAGTTTGCATCTAACCTAGGGGCTTGGTGGAAAGTGACTAGGATACCCAGTAACCTAAGAATAAAAAGGCCTCTCTTTTTGGTATTGGGTAACTTTATAAGGAACCTAGGACTACAAAAAGGGAATAAGGGTACTACTGGAGATCCTAGGTGACATAGTGTCGCAGGAATTATTAAACTTTCAGGATGTAACAAGGTTCTGGCTAGGATGTACGTATATAGAAAGCTGTTGGGGCCCCGGAAGCAGGAGTTTCAGCAGGAAGGAACCCCTCCAGACTACCGGATCCTTTTCATCAGCACCAACCCTGAATCGTAGGGATCCCCCAAACGGACGCCAAATATCAAGAACCACCCACCCCTTGAAAACGACCATCGACTCACGAATGACCAGGCACCAAAAGCTCGGCTGCTGTAAGGCCTTGCAGAAAGCTTCGGGGTTGCAGGGTTTGGAGCTTCAGGGGTTTAGGGTTAAGGGTTGAGGACCCTAAACCCTAAACCTCTAAACCCTAAACCCTAAACCGGGGTTTGCGGGGCCGGTAAATGAGAGGGAGGGTTACGGGCTCAGTGTTCACAGATTTGCGAGTTTAGGGCATGGGGTGTTGAGGGTTGGTGGGCTTGCAAAGTTTCCTGGGCTTTAGGTTTCTGCGGCCTAAGCCCTAAACCCTTGGGACCGAAAGAAGTTCAGAATTCAGGGCCTGAGGTCTGTTTCCAGCTGCAGGTTTAGGGCATATCTTACAGGGTTTAGGGTTTAGAGTTTAAGGTTTTCAGTAGTAGAGTTCATAAGGGTCTAGGGTATGGCAAGGTTGTAGAGGTGGGTGTCGGATTCCGACTCAAAGGCTGTAGGTTTCGGGCGTATCGAACCTCACAGGCACAGCTACCGGATGTTGAGCATGACTGGGTTGGTAATTAAAGAATTAGGTTACCATAATGAGGTTACCATAGTATTTACTATAAGTCCCTATTATGGTCACTTAAATTAAATCCGGAACCCCTAAAAAATCGGTTGCCGGTGTACAAAATACATGGTTAGTAACCCACGATTGGATAACTGGAGCCCTAGAGGAGCTCTGAAGCCTTAAATTGGTGTTGAATACCAGCTTACTTGGAGGATCATGGGACTTAGGAAGTAAGGTTATAAGTGCCTTAATTAGTAAGGGTTGTAAGTAGTTATAAGTATAGTTACCCTAATTATAACCCTAGTTACTAAGTCCCATGATCCTTTAAGTAATTCCCGTAAACTGATGCTGAAGGCCCACAAGCACAGTAATTGAATCCGCCACCGTCTTTTGCTCTGCTTCTGCCTCCTCGACACCCTCTCCTAAATAAAAACCTACCGTAAACCCTACACCTCAAAACCCTACCTAGAGGCTCATACCCTACCCCGCTTTTAGGATACCTAGTTTTGTGTTTGGGATCTGTTATCTCAAAATGTAGGCGCTCAAAGACAGGAGTAGGGTATGAGCCTGCACCTTTGGGGCCTGGGCATTCGGGTTTACGGGTGTAGGGTTTAAGGCTTAGGGGTTTGGGGGTTTGCCGGTTTGGGGCTTCAAGAAGAGTTTTGGTTTCAATCTATGGGTTTAGGGTTTAGGGCATAGGGTTTAGGGTTTAAGTGGTTCAGAGGTTTATGGGTTTAGAGGTTTGGGGGTTTGGGGGTTCACGGGTGTCAAGGGTTCAGGGCTTAGGGTGTAGGGTTTAAGGTTTAGTTTGGGGTTTGGGGTTTTGGGGCTTCAAGGCTTTATTTCAATATATGGGTTTAGGGTTTACGGATTTAGGGGTTTAGGGGTTTGGGGGTTCAAATGCTTCAAGGGTTTAGGGCTTACCAGCACGACCCGTTCGTTGCTATATATACCGACGGTTGGGCGGTATAGAGACGACAGTCCGTATGATGACGTTTCGTCTTCGTCAGACAATGACGAATTTGAACCCAAATGAATGTGTGATCTCTCTTTCTCTCTCATTCTTTCTTTCATCTAATATAAATGTTGTGCGGGTTGGGTTGTTTGGCTACAACAAACTGCGATTGACGATCTCGGCCTTTTTCACGGCCCCCGGAATCGGAGCGAAAACTGTAATGCCCATTTAAAAAGGACATGCCGTGAGACAAAATTGGGGTGAGAGGCGATCGCAAGCTGTTTCACACGACGAACGGCGTCTTCGCCCAAGTAATTAGCCGAAAACCGTGGGTTCTGTCGCAGAACCATTACAAAATCGAGAACGGCATGTTCGAGCATGTGCTGTTTCGGCCTGCATTTCCATCGTGGCACCTGAAGCATGACAGCACGGCTTGCAAGCCGGTCGAACGAGCTTCTGTACAAGTAATATGCCGCTTCGAAGTTCTGGCACACATCTTCTCGGAAGAATCGGCCGTTCTCCATCTGAAGCTGCTCCATGTACATTAGCCCAGTCACCACACCAAGAATGAGCCTCGGAAGGTTTTAAGTCTCTATTTTTGAACTGCTGCCGGCTTCTATAACCTTATAGGCGACTTTGCACATGCTCGTGCTCGGATTCTTAACATTGAAAACAAACACATGCCACCCAAATGATTCGTCCTGGACGGGGCACTTGAGATGCTCAGGCTGCTCGTCGCCTTGCAGTAGGCTGTTCATGAACCAGTGCATCCAGAAGACCATGAACTTTGCAGCTGCTGCCCTCATAAATTTCTGGGATACGGTGACATAGTCATGTCGCAGGGTCTCGTTGGTAAACAACTTTCGTTCGCACCTGTCAGCAATATTCCAGTATTGGCAGTATTCTTTGTAGCTTTGCCATGCAATCTCCAACCGAGCATCTCTAGACGATCCCGGCCATGGCCATTGTGTGTCGCTCAAGTCCAGCAGCATGCTGGTCAAAGCATCGCCCAGACATGCCAAGTGCACTATGTGCATGTAATCCGGGAGGATGCCTCATAGTTTGGATGTTTACTGCTGTGTATATATGTATTGGCATCAATAATGCTATTTGGGGTTTAGGCTGGGTAAAAGAAAGCTTTCGGACAGCTTTACCCAATATTGAAAGGCTAGCATCGCCAAGGGCAGTAGCCACCAGCTAGTCCAGCGAAGGGACTCCAGCCATGCACAGCGATGAACTCATCATTGCCAGAGCAAAGCCTCGACAGTACCAGACTTGAAGTGTTAAGTGCAATACACTATAACACCATAGTCGGCGGTTATAGCTTCGACGGAATGCCGAGCATCCTTTGCCGATGGAGAGCTCTTCGGCCGAAATTGGTGAACAGAAGCTCTGGATTGTTCGGCTCCGGGTCGCCAGGTTGCGGATATTTGAGGATCCACTGCAGGGCCTGTACGGGTATGATTCGTTCAAAGAGCTGACAACAAGCAACTGCTGGCTCTCATTTGCGAGTCGTGCCTCACAGTAGTGGCAGACCATCTTGCGTGTATAATTTCCTCGTGATCATTTGCGAATTGACAGCTAGCACAGCCGAAACCCTCAGATAGCAGCCAATTATGTTGCAGGGAAGAATCTCTGCAGCCGAAAACACTTGCTGATGAACTCTTGGTCCATCTGAAAAGCATCCAGAACCACCGTGTACTTTCCGCAGATTCGACGACCAGCTTGTTCACGACGAGAGCCCTTCAAGCATTCGCCATTCATATCCACCGACGGATAGACACCCTGACCTAGGATCGCTGTAACCCTGGCTAAGAAAACCATATTGGCAAATCAATATTTTTAATTCCAATCCACCAAGGAAGAAACCCCCAAATTTAATTGCTTCTTCATAAGGACCGGGGACCGAGAACTTCGAGCGACCAGGCGATGGCCCCCATTATCAGCTCCCTGGCTTCACTGGTGCCTTGCCCGGACATACAGCTAAGCCTCAGATTGATCTTTCGACAGCAGAACTACGGCATGTCATCAGACTTAGTCAAAGAAGCATCGTAAAATGCATCGAGGGAGCAAGAATCGAGTATCCATACAGGATGTTTCTTCTCCCAGCACCGATTGCAAAAGGAAGATCTCGAAGTTTTGAGTACCTGCAGCAATAATGTCTCAAGTACCTCATACATGATACTCTACTGTGTAGCTATAATGCAACCAGCTTCGGTAGCTTTCAGCTCCATCGCCATATAGTCGCACAGGCACAATGAAATCACGAGCTTCAGCGAGAGCCTGGGCGTGGACAAAATGCAGCCCGGAAGCAACACAGGAACAAACCTGAATCGGGCAATAAGCTAAGTAGCCGGGTGATTGAACCACCAGTGTGAAGCAAATTCTCTCGATTTCTGGCAGTATTCTCGAATCTCCTGCACCGAGGATAAGAGCCAAAGACTTTCTACACATAAACAACATTTCGCGATTTTGGCGTAAGGAGGCTTCAGCGTGCAAGCAAGTTGCTTCTGGCTTTCCAAAGAGCTTGTGAAAGAAGTCCCGGTCGAAATTGTAGATGCAGCCCATCACTTCGTGAGGGAGGAACATGCTGTGTTCGTACCAGCCCCGATCTTCGTTGCCGGCTGCATCCAGGTTCACCTCGCTTCGATCATCTCTAAAGTCTATAGTGTGTGACTTCAGAAGCCAGTGACAAACAGTTCCCCAAGAGGCGGGCATAGGGATCTTGTGCGGCTCCGGAAGAATCTTTCCTCGATCAAGCCAGAATGAACTTTAAGGGTTTGGGATTGCTATAGTTTCGATCTATATTGTCTAGGGTTTCTGAGAATTCCAAACAAGTCTCGCCATGGTTGCTTCAGAGACCAAGCCTCTAGGATGTTGACATGTCCCCAGTGGTTTTTCTTCGCATCCAATCTCCTCGCCAGATCCAGCATATCAGGCCTTAGTGTTTATATGGGGTTTAGGGCTTTGGGGTTTGGGCTTTAGGGAAGTTTGGCCCAAGATGCGGCACCAGCATTTCTGGTAGTTGAAGCAGGCGACCTTATTGCGGGGTTTGTCGAGGCAGGCAAAATATCTTTTGAAGCAACCCGGCGACACTTGTGGGTCAGGGGCTGGTCGTTGTGAGGAGGTTCTTTGTCGCGACCTGCATATTGGAACATGGCATTATGCACAAGTTGGTGCATACACTGCAGACACTAAAACTATTGCATCTAGGGCACATCTCCGGTAGATACGAATTGCAGAATATCTTCCACGGTCTTCCGAATATAGTCTATCATCCATTGCCCCGAGGATCCAGAACATCCAGATGATGCTGCAGAGTCCATTGGACCACAAAAAACATCTGAAATCCAGTGTCTGGGCAGGTAGATGTTGTTCAGGGTTTGCGATTTAGAGTTTAGGGTTTTAGGGGTTAAGGCACGGTTTGAAGTTTAGGGGTTTAGGGTTTAGGGAGGGTTTGTAAGGTTTTTCGATGAGGAGTTTGGGCTTTGCTGTGTTTCGGTTTTGCATATGTGTAGGGCAGTGTAGGGTGTGGGATTTAGGGTAATTGGGTTCGAAAACTTGAAC